CTGTGTGCGGAGTTGCTGAACGGGGAGTCGCTGAGTGCGAAGCAAGTGAAGTGATAGTGGGGAGACAAAGGTGGTGAGCGAGACGAGCGGAGCACGGCGAGCAAGCCATGGTGACCAGGATACTGTGGAGTGTGGAGGACATGTTGAATGTTGTAAATAAAGCGGTGTTCGAAGAAAGACAGAAGTTGTCCGCGTAAAGTCGAACACTACATTTGGTGTCAGAGTGACTACGAACCACGCCGAGATGTCAAAGAAGGCGGCAAAGAAGATGAACGTGCCGGTGGACTCGTCCGATGACAGCAACGACGAGGACATGCTGCCCATGTCCGGCCAAGTGGCCGATACTCCTCTGGAGGGTCGGGTCGATCAAGAAATAACAGAACGAGACGGCGGTTCGAGCGGGGCCGAGACCCCCGAACCGTCGGGGGATTGGAGAGTCCTCATGGCCCAGTGGGAGGCCAGGATGGCGATGCTGACAGAGGCGTTCAACCACTTTATGACATCGAACCACGTACAACCAACGGTGTCAAGTCAACCAGCAGATGTTGCCGCGGGGTCGGAGTGATTGGAGAAATCCGACGACAAGGAAGCGCAGCCGTCGGGAACAGCACGGCGACTTCATGTGCAGCGGTTCGAGGCCAAAGTTGGTGATTGGACGGCATTTACACGACGGTTCCGAGCGGCTTATCAATCTCTGGAGTGGACTGAGGGTGCCGCGCTGCGGGCACTGTAGACGGCCCTCGATGATGATTCTTTGGCGACATTTAATGGTTTCCCTGCCGCCGTCAGGTCAACGCTTGATGGGGCATTCGCGGCAATGAGGAAGGTGTACGAGCCGCGGTCGGTCGCCAAATGTAGATTTCAGCAAAGGAAGCGGGAGGGCACGGAATTCCCTCTTGCGTTCCGCAGCACGTTGTTGGCCCTCGCTCAAGTTTCATACCCAGCGATGGACCAGGAGGCCCTAGATTCCTTGCTGCAGGAGAAGCTTTTGCAGTTGGCGAAGGAAATACGGATCGTCCTTTCGCTTCCTGACAGCAACAACGATGACGACATGTCGTCTCTACAGATCGCCAGGAACATCCAAGTCAACCTGGACCTCCGCGACGAGCCAGCGGTGGTGGGTGTGCAGCCGCTGCTGATGAGCGCTGCCGCGGCCGAGAGCGCGATGGCGGTGAACGAGGCGCCACCGATTGCAGCGGTGGCCGGGGTGCCACCTGCGGGCGTGCTGCGTCGTCCCGCGGTGTATGGAGTTGGCACACAACGGACGTGCTACGAGTGCGGACGGAGAGGACATCTCGCCCGCGACTGCTGGCGGCGCAGGGGCGGCCTTCCAAGGGCGCCGACCAGCTACAACCGAGGATTTCCCCAGGACCGAGGATTCCGGGTGAGTCGCGATACATTCAATACACGGCCGCTCTTTCCACGTCACCCATCTGCGTCATATCACCCACTCCCATCTCATTTGTATGTTGCGCAAGGTCAGGACATGTGGGGCGCGTTGGTGCATCATGTGTTGGGAGCCGCGCCGGTGTCGTCGGATGTGATGGCACGTATTCAAGGAGTAATGGTCAGGGTGATTGTTGATACAGGGGCTTCTGCGACCCTTATTTCGTTACAAACTTTTTGCTCGCTGCCGACTTCACCCCAGGCCCTAGAACCGGTAGACGGGCCATGCATAGCAGCAAATGGTGGCAGCCTTGGTATTATTGGTTGTATGGTCGCGACGATTCAAATTGGGGAAGTGAGCATTACGGGGAATGTCTTGGTTTCTACGACCTTGGTGGTACCGTGTTTGCTGGGCACGAATTTTTTGCAAATGATGCCGCTTAAAATTTCAATAGAGAAGGGGTGTTTGGAATTGCCATCGGGGAAATGTCTGAAATTTTTGGGAACGCCTTCTAAGTTCGTGGTTGCGAACGCCGTGGTGCAGGCTGTGGTGAGCCGCACCGTTCGTGTTCCGCCTGCGACTCAGATGCTTGTGCCACTGCGCTTTAAGAAACAGATGCCGTTCGATGAGCAACAGGAGGGTATATTGCTGATGCCCTCAAATGCTGTATCTTAGATGCCCACCTTGGTAGGGGCTTTGACTATTGTACCGGCAAATTGCGACCCTTTCATACAAATTGTGAGCAACAGGAGGGTATATTGCTGATGCCCTCAAATGCTGTATCTTGGATGCCCACCTTGGTAGGGGCTTTGACTATTGTACCGGCAAATTGCGACCCTTTCATACAAATTGTAAACGCGGAACACGAACCGGTTGTCATTCAGGAGGGTACCACGTTACCGAAAGCGATGGCAGCGCCGGGTCCGGAGGGGGAGGCGTGTTTGGCAACGGGACAGAGTGAGATGTTGTCGGGTGATGGAGATGATCCAGAATGGTTGCGAGATCTTCATATGCAAAACTCCGAACTAACGCCTGTGCAACGGTCGTGTCTTCATGGGTTGCTCGTGGAATTTAAAGATGTGTTCAGTTCAGGTAAATATGACGTGGGTCGTACGTCGTTGTTGCGGCATCACATTGATACTGGGAATGCACCCCCAATCAGATTGAATACCCACCATGTAAGTCTGCTGGAGAAAGATTCTATTCGGTGAGCCGTTGATGAGATGTTAGAACAGGAGATAATTTCTCCTTCATCCAGCCCGTGGGGAGCTCCTATTGTACTCGTTAAAAAGCGCAATGGGGCCATGCGATTTTGTGTTGACTACCGAAAACTGAACAAGGTGTCTGTGGCAGAAGCATATCCGCTCCCACGTATTGATGATTCGCTAGACGCCCTGTCCAGCGTGAACATTTTTTCGACCCTCAATCTGTTGTCGGGCTTTTGGCAATTGCCCTTGGATGAAGAGTCTAAACCTAAAACCGCTTTTCGAACACCACAAGGGTTGTTCCAATTCAATGTACTCCCGATGGGGCTCCACTCCGCGCCGGCCACCTTCCAACGATTGATGGAACTCGTGTTGTCAGGACTGCAGTGGGAGTCGTGCTTAATATATCTGGACATCATTGTTTTCAGTAAGGATTTTGACGAACATTTGCAAGCGGTGTTCGAAGAAAGACAGAAGTTGTTCGCGTAAAGTCAAACACTACACAGGTAACAAGCTGAGATTAGGAACACTCCCTTAAAGAGTGTGCTCCTAATCTCAGCTCGTTACCTGTATAAAAGACACCTGGGAGCCAGAAATCTTTCTGATTGAGAGGGGGTCAAATACTTATTTCCCTCATTAAAATGCAAATCAATTTATAACATTTTTGACATGCGTTTTTCTGGATTTTGTTGTTGTTATTCTGTCTCTCACTGTTCAAATAAACCTACCATTAAAATTATAGACTGATCATTTCTTTGTCAGTGGGCAAACGTACAAAATCAGCAGGGGATCAAATACTTGTTTTCCTTCACTGTATGTGTATACTGTGTGTCTGTGAGTTTGTGTATCTATGGGTGCGTGCCAACGCCTGTGTCTGTGACGTGTGTCTGTGAGTGTATGTGTCTTTGTGTATACTGTATGTGACGTTGTGTCTGTGAGTGTATGTGTATCTTTGTGTATACTATGTGTCTGTGACGTGTCTGTGGGTGTATGTCTTTATGTATACGGTGTGTCTGTGACGTCTTGTGTCTGTGAGTGTACTTGTGTCTTTGTGTATACTATGTGTCTGTGACGTTGTGTCTGTGAGTGTACTTGTGTCTTTGTGTATACTATGTCTGTAACGCTGTGTATCTGTGAGTGTATGTGTCTTTGTGTATACTATGTGTCTGTGACGTCTTGTGTCTGTGATAGTATGTGTGTATTTGTGTATACTGTGTAACGTATCTGTGAGTGTATGTGTGTCTTTGTGTATACGATGTGTCTGTGACACTGTGTATCTGTGGGTGTATGTGTGTCTTTGTGTATACTATGTGTCTGTGACGTGTCTGTGAGTGTATGTGTCTTTGTGTATACTATGTGTCTGTGACGCTGTGTATCTGTGGGTGTACTTTTATCTTTGTGTATACTATGTGTCTGTGACGCTGTGTATCTGTGGGTGTACTTGTATCTTTGTGTATACTATGTCTGTGACGCTGTGTATCTGTGGGTGTACTTTTATCTTTGTGTATACTATGTGTCTGTGACGCTGTGTATCTGTGGGTGTATGTGTGTCTTTGTGTATACTATGTGTCTGTGACGCTGTGTATCTGTGGGTGTACTTTTATCTTTGTGTATACTATGTGTCTGTGACGCTGTGTATCTGTGGGTATATGTGTGTCTTTGTGTATACTATGTGTCTGTGACGCTGTGTATCTGTAGGTGTACTTGTATCTTTGTGTATACTATGTGTCTGTGACGCTGTGTATCTGTGGGTATATGTGTGTCTTTGTGTATACTATGTGTCTGTGACGCTGTGTATCTGTAGGTGTACTTGTATCTTTGTGTATACTATGTGTCTGTGACGCTGTGTATCTGTGGGTGTATCTGTGCCTATGTGTATAATGTGTCTGAGACGTGTATCTATGGGTGTGTGTTTATTTGTATACTTTGTGTATGCGTGCGTGCGTCCGACCCGCCCCGACTGTTGTAACGTTCTTACCAGCCCCTACTCGACATCTGTGAAAAATATATTTTTTAGCTCATCGGATTCCTCCAGTACATTTGAATATTCTGATTCTGTGTGCCTCTGTTTATGTGTGTGCCATGTGTGTACCGTGTACATGGCTGTATTCACAACATGTGCTCTGTGTGTTCTTGAACACAGGCACGCACACACAAACACAAAGGTTCCCCTACGGCCTTAACAGACTGTTGGGGCAAATACTGTTAGCTCATTTGAGGCCGAGTTGACCTCGGGGCAGGGAGGCCCAGGACCGGTTCAGGTAAATCGTCACTTGGTGCTGCTGTCCGCGAACGAGAATCGGAACTCGGGCCGCCAGGTTCGTAGCGCCAGCGCGCTTAACATGCACGCGCGCGGACACACACACACGCGCGCACGCGCACGCACGCACACGTGCGCACACACATACCGTAGCCCTGTCCGCTCCCACAGTGGCAGGAAACCAATCTCGCTATGAATCCGGTCGCGCGCAGGGGGAGAGCTCTCGAGATGTTCCAAAGAGAGAGAGAGAAGGAGGGAGTTGACCATGAGAGACACAGAGAGAGAGAGTCAACGGCGTGAAGTTGTATGCGGGGAGAATTGGGAGACCCGGCTTCGACTGGTGAAGCGGTGTGTGCGTGAGAGAGAACGGGGAGAGAGAGAACGGGGAGAGAGAGAGTGCGGGGAGAGAGAGAGCGGGGAGAGTGGGAGAGAGTGTGTTTGAGAAGGGCAGTGTTCGCTGCTGCTGCGGTATTTAAAAAAAAGTAAAGTGTGGGTGTATGCTTACATCTCCGATGCGCGGAGAGTGTGTGTGACTGGGGAGGGGTGGTGCAGTGGGTCCCGAGCCTCCCCTAGGTCGGCTCAGCCTCAAATGAGTACCTGGTGCGATGTGTAAAAATAACGCGACTTGGGAGACAAAGGCGGTCGGGCGTGGTGCTGGCCACTCACCCCCCTCGTGCAATGCGCAGGCCTTAATAGGTGCTACTCGCTCACAGCACTTGCCTCAAAAGTTTGTTGAGGATATACTGGGGACCTTTGTTTGTGGGGAGCGGTAGTGTAGCGGTTAGCGCGCTGTGCTACCAACCCGGCAACCCCAATCTCCCTCACAGCCACCAACATCAGTGACGATTATCTGAACATGTCCTGGGCCTCCCCTAGGTCGACTCAGGATAGAGTCCATTGCAGTGTTTAAATATCGCCACTGGGGAGACAAAGGCCATCCACCCTCTCGCGTGTCGTCCCGGCCTTAACAGGTGCTCGCTTACAGCACTTGCCCCAACAGTCTGTTAAAAGCTATACAGGGGTTCTTTGTCTTTGTGTTATGAACGCAATGCTTGAGATGCCGATAATGATGATGATGACGATGACATAAAAGTACTCGAGTTTGATCATCGTAATGATATCTTTGATGATGCTAATTCATTTGCTCCTTTTGGCCGATGATGCTGATGATAAAGAAAACGAGGAAGCTTCGTAGCATCATCATCATCGGTAGGAGCAGTCGCATCACCATCGTTGACAACAGCGGTCACATCCTGCGGATGATGATGAGGGGCCGTCCATAAATGACGTCACGCGATTTTGGACGATTTTTGACCCCCCCCCCTCGTCACACGGCGTCACAAAAAGTCAGACCCCCCCCCTCAAATATGACGTCACAAAGCTCTGCCCCCCCCCCCCTCAAAAACCATATTACCATTTTGAAAATAAAACATGCTTCAAATCGCATTAAACTATTGTCATTGTAGTGCGTATTTAATGTTGCGCTGCACTCTGATGTTGTAGGAGAAAACATGTATTAAAAAGTCTATTTAATTAAGTAGAACGTGCTGTCTATATTTATTTAAAGTTGCGCATTTTGATGTGACGTCACATTTCTCACCTCCCCCCCCCCTTGTCACACATCGTCACAAATGTCTGACCCCCCCTCCCTAGGTGCGTGACGTCATTTATGGACGGCCCCTGATCATAATCATGATGATCATTATTATCATCAGTAACAACAGCGTTAATACATTCATGGAGAAAATTATGAAGATCATCATGAAGAGTGTTCCGTTACTGAGAGTGCTACTGCTGATATTGCCCACGCTGATGCTGATTAATATTACAATCGTGATGAACGTCATAAATCGTTCGGCGAAAAGACATCCCATTTAAATACTTTAATAAACTGCTTTGGAACAACAACAACAAAAATCGCCTCTATCACAATTCACATTAAACACACGCGCACACACTCTCAACTCTCAACCACAGGCGCATATGGCATCAATTCCATCCCAGCTCACCCATTACGTGCCTGGGGGGGTAGGAGAGGGGGGGGGGGGTACAGGGTGAACGGTGGGGGGGGGGGGGGCTAGATAGTGGTGGGGGTGAGCGATGGCAGTTGCCTCGGCATCACTAATTAAATGCCACCTGGTTTAATCAGTCGAGAGGTCACGTGCACGCCAGGCAGGTTACCATTATTGAAATATTTTCCATTTTTTGTTAATTTCCCCCGGGAAAGCCTCAAGGTTATTTCTTCAGGCGGGGGGGGGGGGGGGCTTCTATGCCAAGGCGTCGTGGAAGGGGGCGACGTTGCTGCTGCCGCTGTGATCCCAATCCACTCGTTTGATGATCATTTTACTATTGGGATGTTCGGTCAATGGCGGTTGCATAGACATGAGCACGGGTGGCGACGTACGGTGCAAAAGAAGTTCCGCATACGTGGTGGGGTTTTTTGCCACGAGCGAGACAAAGGCGGCCAGGCGTGGTGCTGGCCACCCACCCTCTCGTGTGCCGTTGGTTACTCGCCAACAGCACTTGCTCCTACAGCTTGTCATGTCTTTGAAGGTTCTATATGGGGCATCTTTGTCTTTGTTTGTATTTTAGCTGGAGAAGGAACCCGTAGGGAACCCACGCATAGTAGGGAGAGTGAGAACATACAAACTCCACGCAGAAAGGCGCCCGAATCGGGAATTGAACCCAGGTGGCTTCTTGCTGCGAGGCAGCGCGAGTGCTCGAACCGCATCAACCGCCATCAGCAGCAGCAGCATCATTTGCATAACCACTATCATAATCTTCAGCAGCAGCACTGCCATTAGCAGCAGTAGCAACATTCATCATCAGCAATAGCAGCATTATCATTAGTAGCCAATCAGACACTAGCCCTGCCTCTATCCCGAACCCGAACCACACGAGCCAATCAGCAACTAGCCCTGCCTCTATCCCGAACCCTAACCACACGAGCCAATCAGACACTAGCCCTGCCTCTATCCCGAACCAGAACCACACGAGCCAATCAGACACTAGTCCTGCCTCTATCCCGAACTCGAACCACACGAGCCAATCAGACACTAGCCCTGCCTCTATCCCGAACTCTAACCACACGAGCCAATCAGACACTAGCCCTGCCTCTATCCCGAACCCTAACCACACGAGCCAATCAGACACTAGCCCTGCCTCTATCCCGAACCAGAACCACACGAGCCAATCAGACACTAGCCCTGCCACTATCCCGAACCCTAACCACACGAGCCAATCAGACACTAGCCCTGCCTCTATCCCGAACCAGAAACACACGAGCCAATCAGTCCCCTAGCCCTGCCTCTATCCCGAACCAGCACCATACGAGCCAATCAGACACTAGCCCTGCCTCTATCCCAAACCCTAACCATACGAGCCAACCAGACACTAGTCCTGCCTCTATCCCAAACCCTAACCACACGAGCCAATCAGACACTAGCCCTGCCACTATCCCGAACCCTAACCACACGAGCCAATCAGACACTAGCCCTGCCTCTATCCCGAACCCTAACCACACGAGCCAATCAGACACTAGCCCTGCCTCTATCCCGAACCCTAACCACACGAGCCAATCAGACACTAGCCCTGCCTCGATCCCGAACCCGAACCACACGAGCCAATCAGACACTAGCCCTGCCTCTATCCCGAACCCTAACCACACGAGCCAATCAGACACTAGCCCTGCCTCTATCCCGAACCCTAACCACACGAGCCAATCAGACACTAGCCCTGCCTCTATCCCGAACCAGAACCACACGAGCCAATCAGACACTAGTCCTGCCTCTATCCCAAACCCTAACCACACAAGCCAATCAGACACTAGCCCTACCACTATCCCGAACCCTAACCACACGAGCCAATCAGACACTAGCCCTGCCTCTATCTCGAACCCTAACCACACGAGCCAATCAGACACTAGCCCTGCCTCTATCCCGAACCCTAACCACACGAGCCAATCAGACACTAGCCCTGCCTCGATCCCGAACCCGAACCACACGAGCCAATCAGACACTAGACCTGCCTCTATCCCGAACCCTGACCACACGAGCAGTATATTAGTTCTGCATCTTTGAAAACTCGTTGTTATAAATGGTGCCCGGTCGATTAATGGAGCCTCCTAATTTGCCGAAGACCACAACGCCCTGAATGTGCCCGATCTCGACGAATCTCGTTCGCGAAGCATGCCTGAGCCTGGTCCGGTGCTTGGGGAAGGCAACCCCCCACAGGTGCTTGCCAGGTGCTGTAGGCGCCGTGCTCCAGTTCTGCGAGGTGCCAGCAGAGGGCAGAACAGTTAATCAGAATATGTATTTATACTGGAGGAATCCGATGAGCTATAAAGCGCTTTTTCACAGATGTCGAGTAGGGGCTGGTAAGGACGTTACAACAATGGGTGCGGTCCACAGATAGAGTCGGACCCATGTGGATTTAATCCATCTGTTCGGATTTTTGAGCGTTATCCCCTCGTATTTAGCGTAGTGGGGTTTTTATTTTATTTTTCCGACGTCTTCGGACTCCTCCCACACGAAGCCAAAGTCTCACGAGTGGAATCAATGGCCAAACATCCCAATGGGGACAGGACCCTCCCGACAATGAGTCTTGAGACTCAGCAATCGGTGCCTTCCCTGCGCGAATGCAACAGCAAACACCCGCAAATCGTTTAACGCATCTTTTTCTTTTTTTGTTAGTTCTTATTACAACTCAACGCGCGTTCGGTACAAAGCGCCGATCACAGAACGGAAGGGGATACAACATATATGTCTGCTAATTTTTTGTAATCTCAGGAAGCCCCCAGCACGTGCAGCGGAACGTCGGATGGCCATGTTTTTGTTTATTGTAGTACGGAGTTAGACTGATGGCCTTAATCTTAGTTGTCTTGTGGTTGTTGTTGTTGGTGTTTGACTTGCATCCCACTGGGATTTTTGTACACAGCGTTGGTGTACGGTGCTATCTCAGGAATATTTTGCTGTTTTTTTCCTGGATTTTCTGTTTGCACAGTCACAGTCACATAGTCACTTTTAAAGATGTTTTTTCTTGTTCATGTTATTGTTTGTTGCGGTTGCACCCGATTCAAGAGCCGAATGGCTCACAGGGCTATACCAAATGAATGGAACTCTGAACTATGCCGAGTAACACGGGGCACAACCGCACAACGCCACCACGCCCGAGACCTTCCCCTGCAGTGCATCGGACCGCACGGCAGGGGGAGCAGAGTGATTTCCAGAGTGGTCCAGATGTCCTGTGACCCCCCCCCCTCAATTGATTTACCTCAAATGTGTTTTTTCCCCCCTTTTGCTTATACATTTCTGTTTTAAATGAAGCTTAATTATGTATTTACTTCAGGTGGCCGATACGAGTTCATGTACTCTTGGGGAACGGCTTGCGGTGAGCGTATGGGCTCATGAAAGATCACACACCAGCACTATGAAAGATGTTCGAAAGGATTTGAAAGATTTAACAATAATGATACGTATTGAAACAGTGATATTGCTCGCGTTATATTACACACCCATTGGGGTATACAAAACCTATTACGTTTTAGAGAATAAAATTGGGGGGGGGGGGGAGGGGGGTCACAAGACATCTGGACCACCTTATACTGTACAATATTTTAGTACAGGCGGAGATTCGTATTTGTTTGTGGGGCCAGGCGACGTAGGCTTATTTGTCAATACTTGTCAATAACCCTCCACCACCCGACACAGAGATCGTCACGTTTGCAAAGCGACTGTGCTGTTCTCCAGTTGTCCGGATGAAAATTGGGAGAAGTTTTGCCCAATTATTGGTCAAGCTGGTTCAAAAACTTAATACATTTACGAATGAACTTAACGTGACTCGTCGCCGCGTCCTATAGGTTCCGTGGGATGGCCAGCGCCGGCTGCTGGGGAAGGGGGGCGCCGCGTAACCATGAGCGCACGGCGAGGGAATGCGGGAAGTCGCGAGTGTTTATACACGGGGCAGTGTGAGTCACAGAAAGAGGGGGGCGTGTGTGATGGGGTGTGTGTGATGGTGTGTGTGGGATGGGGGTGTGTGTGTGATGGGGTGTGTGTGATGGTGTGTGTGTGTGGGATGAGGTGTGTGTGTGTGTGATGGGGTGTGTGTGATGGGTTGTGTGTGATGGGTTGTGTGTGATGTGGTGTGTGTGATGGGGTGTGTGGGATGGGGGTGTGTGTGTGATTGGGTGTGTGTGATGTGCTGTGTGTGATGGGGTGTGTGTGATGGTGTGTGTGGGATGGGGTGTGTGTGTGGGATAGGGTTTGTGTGTGAGATGGGGTGTGTGTGATGGGGTGTGTGTGATGTGGTGTGTGTGTGCGAAATGCTGAGGGAGGGTGGCGTTTGTGCACAGACTGCCCTATATGACATATAACAACAGTCTGGACCACTGGACGGGTTCCGCAGGATTGGAAGGATGCCCTGGTGGTCCCCCTCTTTAAGAAGGCTGACCGCACAGACTGTAACAACTACAGGGGCAGTTTAACACGTAGGCTTTCGCGACCAATATTATTCATAATAAAGGTTTTTGGGTTAGATCGCGTTTATTTATAAATGTGTCGTAACCCTCCACCACCCGACACGGCCAATCAGCAAAAAAAGTGTCACGTTGACAAAAGACAAATAATTCACTACTTCAGCCCACCGGTGTGTTGAAGAGCTAATCCACATTTACAGTACTCAAACTGTAAATGTGGATTAGCTCTTCAACACACCGGTGGGCTGAAGTAGTGAATTATTTGTCTTTTGTCAACGTGACACTTTTTTTGCTGATTGGCCGTGTCGGGTGGTGGAGGGTTACGACACATTTATAAATAAACGCGATCTAACCCAAAAACCTTTATTATGAAACTACAGGGGAATCTCACTCCTCAGTGTGCCGGGAAAGGTCCTGGCAAGGATTATTCAACATCGCCTCGCCAGGCACGCTGAGGAGATGCTTGCGGAGCCCCAATGCGGTTTCAGGAAAGGGCGGTCCTGCACAGATGCCATATTTTCTGTCCGTCTGCTACAGCAGAGGTGTAGGGAATTCCAACAAGACCTTCATCTCTGCTTTATTGACCTGGTCAAGGCCTATGATACCATCAGTAGGCCTGGGCTCTGAGTTGTTCTTCGTGCTTTTGGAGTCCCTGACCCTCTGCTCACGATCATTAAGGACCGTCATGATGGTGAGCGGGCCCGGGTAAAACTACGTGGCCGGGAGTCAGAGCCATTCCCTGTACACCTTGAGGTGCGACAGGGATGTCCTCTGGCTCCCACATTATTTAACATCTATTTTGACCACGTAGTTCGTGAAGCCTTCAATAGCTGTACCGGGGGAATCTCCATTTGGTGCAGATATAATGGGAGGCTGATCGATGTCCGGGTGCGGTCAAGGGATGGCTCCCTATTGCTCAACCACGTTATGTATGCAAATGATTTGGTAATAGCTGCTCATTCAGAGGAGGATTTGGAGACGCTGCTGCTGAGACTGGAGCGTGCCACTAAGAAATGGGGCCTTACCATCAGCCCCACCAAAACTAAGCACCTGCCTGGGTATTTTGTACAACTCCCAATCCGTGATGGGGCAGTTGTGGAGAGAGTGGAGAGTTTCCCATACCTAGACAGTGTGCTTATGACCGGCTCCAGTTTAACAGCAGAGGTCTCACTCCGAATCAGTCGAGCGGCAATATCTTTTCATCGGTTGCGTAATCCTGTGTGGAAGCTACCTGGTCTGTCGCTCCGCACTAAGCTTCAGGTCTTCTCGGCCACGGTCATTCCCTCCCTTCTCTACGCTTGCGAAACGTGTACCCCCCTTAATGGAGCATCTTCGCCGGTTGGAAACATTTAGGCTGGCCTGCCTACGATCCATCCTGGGTTTAACCAGACTGGATTGTGTGAGGAGCTCAAAAATCCTTGAAAGATCTGGGCAAGGTCCCATCGGTGAGCTCCTCCGGCAGGCAAGGCTGCGTTGGCTGGGTCATGTAGCCCGCATGCCCAGCCACCGCATGCCGAAACAGCTTTTGTTCTGCTGGATCGAGGGGGCTAAACGGGCGCGGCACGGGCTAGAGAAGAGATGGAGTGACGTGGTACAGGAGGACGTGGAGCTGAGTGGACTTGCCGATGACTGGTACCAGCGGTGTCAAGATCGGCCTCTGTGGAGGAGGCTCGTGAAGGACGCTATTGGATAGTTGGAGGCAGTCGCCCTCCAACAACAACGGAGGGCGGAGGAGCGACGCTCACAACAACGAGCGGAGCGCCGGGTGGATAAAGCACAGCAGGTTGGCACAGTAGGGGGCACAGGTGGTGCATCAGCCAATCGTCTCAGTCATCTCAGTCAGTCGACCCGTGGCACTTGGGTCTGCCCCGTGACCTCTTGCCAGCGGACGTTCGACACTTCACGTGGCCTCAAGGTGCACATAGCCTGGCACAAGCGTCGTGGTGACGTCACCGCTACTAAGTGGCGAATGGCGGTTGTTGTTGTTTGGGGAGCGGTAGTGTAGCGGTTAGCGCGCTGTGCTATGAACCCGGCGACCCGGGTTCGATTCCCGCTCACGTCCAACGCCAGTGACGATTATCTGAACCTGTCCTGGGCCTCCCCTATGTCGACTCAGCCTCAAATGAGTACATGGTGCGGTGTGGTGCTGGTAACCCACCCATCGTGTGCCGTCCCGGCTTTCGTAGCTGCTACTCCCAAACGGCACTTCCCCCCAGGGTCTGTTAAGGCAATACGGGGATTTGTCTTTGTGATGGGGTTTGCGTGGTTGGGGTAGCGGTTGTCACGCTGCACTACGAACCCGAGATCAATTCCCGCTCCTCGCTTTGGTCGGCTCAGCGCAATGTGCAAACATCGCCACTCGGGAAACAAAGTCGGCCTGGCATGTTGCTGGCCACCCACCCCCTCGAGTGCCGTGTCAGACTTCATAGGTGCTCGCGAAGAGCACTTGCCCCAAATAGTGTAGTAAGGCTATACGGGGGATCTTTGTCTTTGTATTGTTCCACATTCCTCATCTTCCTCTTCCTCCCCGTGCCGCCAACACTCCCGCGCGCAGTCCCACACCCATCCCTTGCACAACTCTACCCATCACCACGAACACGCCGACTCACTCACCGCAGCTATCAACGCACCGAGCCACACGGCTATAGACACCCCCGGCTTGCATCAGTCTCTTCGCGCCTCCGATTAGCGCGAAAGAAGTTAAACATATCACACATTACTTACGTACCTGGATTTGAACGTCTCACGGGCAAGTGCTTCGGTTGGCAGGTGAGTGAGCCTCCGATCACGACGAACACGCCGTCGATTTACCCGTGTTCTCCGGATTATAAGACGCACTCCCCGCAACCTCAAGCCCTCCCCCCTACCCCATAAAGCGAACGTTTGGGGTGCGTCTTATAATCCGGTACGTGTGTGTGTGTGCGCGCGCGCGCGAGTGACCAGATCTGCATAAACTTTATTGACACCGCGTTCGGGGTGCGTCTTACTTTCCGGCGCGTCTTATAATCCGGAGGATGCGATATTGTTCCATAATAATCATCAGCAGCCAGGATCAATCCACTGCTCGATGAAGGCCACGACCCACCCCCACGCCCGCCTGTACCAACCGCGGCAAACATCAGTGGCGAGTGGCACCACAGACGTGGTGAAGTATGGGGCCGTCCATAAATGACGTCACGCACCTAGGTGGGGGGGGGGGGGGTTCAGACATTTGTGACGATGTGTGACGACGGGGTGGGGGGGGGGGGGTCTGAGAAATGTGACGTCACATCAAAATGCGCAACTTTAAATAAATATAGACAACACGTTCTACTGAAACAAATATACTTTTTTATCTTCTTTGGTTCTTTCGGTAAAGTCACGTAGAATGAGAATAAAGAACCAAAGAAGATTAATCCTTGCAGTCACGAAAGCTTTAAATCGAGACTTTTTATGTTTTCTACCTACAACATCAGAGTGCAGCGCCACATTAAATACGCACAATGACAATAGTTTAAAGCGATTTGAAGCATGTTTTATTTTTTTGGGGAGGGGGGGCAGAGCTTTATGACATCATATTTGAGGGGGGGGGGTCTGACTTTTTATGACGCCGTGTGACGAAGGAGGGGGGGGGTCAAAAAATCGTCCAAAATCGCGTGACGTCATTTATGGACTGCCCCCTAACCGCGGCGGATCCACTTATACTGCTGTGTGGACAGAGCTCGAGGAGGGGCGGAAGAGGGGAGGGGGTGAAGAATCTTGCACCGTGGTTTAAAATGCCGCACCGGGCGATCGATTCGAACCGGCGAACCTCTCGCTGGGTTGCAAGTCCGGTGCGTTACCCATCGCAGCACGAGCCGCTCCCCCCACCTCCGGCACTCTCGAGTCTCGACGTGCCCGGTTTGACCGGGGGACGTTCGCGATGTGGTTTCCTGACAGTCCAGAAATGAGACCGGTTTCGCTTCGTATTCTTCTTGGTTCTGTCGGTAACGTCACCACGTAGAAGGGAAACAATAAAATGATTTTAAAAAATATATAAAACAATACAATTCTCACGACGTTTCGACTGCGACACAAGCAATCATCATCAGGTGTGAAAACCACAACGAGAATTTGTTTTAAAAAAAAGTGGCGGTTATTTTTTTTATTATCAGATTTTCGGTTTCGCTTCGTTGTGTATGCGTGCGTGCGTTGAACTTATTTCGCACCGCACGTAGCCAACCGTGCGAATCGGAGGAGCGCGGGTAGGGACAACGAAACTAAGCACACAAAGGCATACTCTTTGTTTTTTTTTTCCGGTAAAGTCACGTAGGTAAAATAAAATAAAAAAACAACTAAATTAAATCACGACGTTTCGGAGGCAACACAAGCTTCCGCCTTCAGGTGGAATAGTCACAGCGTCAAGTGGACAGCTCTGAGATATTCTGCTGTGACTATTCCACCTGAAGACGGAAGCTTGTGTTGCCTCCGAAACGTCGTGATTTAATTTAGTTGTTTTCTTTTATTTCATTTCACCTACGTGACTTTACCGGAAAAAAACCCCAAAAAGTATGAATCCTTGCAGTCACGAAAGCTTCAAATCTAGAACACACAAAGGCATTTCTAAAGAAATGTGTTTTCAACCTAAGTGACTTAAAGGTGTATAGCTCCAGCGGCTTCCTAATATCGGAAGGAAGAGCGTTCCAGACGGCCGCAGAAGCGCGCCTGAAAGCGCGCGACGCGGTTGATCGTCTTCGGTTCGATGGCAGCAGCCAAAAGCCGCTGCTGCTGCGAGGATGAGCGGAATTCGCGTGATTGATGGTATATGTTTCTTGACAAGACATGTGTTACACCACGTGGCCTGATGAGCCCCCCCCCCCACCATAGACTCCAACGGCTGTCATCCATTCTATCGATCTGGCCTCTCTATTTGATGTGCCACGAAGAAGGGTCATTGCCCGAAACGTCTCAGCTATTATATGCTTTACCTTTCTAAGGCCGCCGTGCTATTGACGCAACGTTTCGATTTGTCGTTGTGATTGTTGGCTGCGCTTGTGCACCACTGCCAACGCAGCAGCGGTAGCGTCACCAGATCACTGCTGTTAATAGATTCATGACGCGCCCGGACAGCCAAGTTTCGACTCGCCCTGCCATTAACATATTTTCCGGATTACAAGACGCACCCCCCTCTTTGAATTGTAAATCCATAATTAATGGTTCGAATGACCAGACCTGTCGGCTTCTTGACATCGTGAACGCGATTTGGGGGTGCGTCTTACTTTTTGTGAGCGTATTATAATCCGGAGAAACCGGTACTGCATCAATCATCGCAAGCGACAACCGTGCACTTGACTTGACTTTGTTTACAGTGCACGGATGTTCAGCACAGGGCCGGAGAGTTAGCGAGTCGATGGGATTGAGCAAGACTCTTGTCAGGAGCGGCTCGACCATTTCGGCGAACTGGTCGGTCGCCTCGGGCGCCAAGTTAAGTAGGACGACAAATTCCAGGATAACAATAGAAAAAAAACACAAATAAAATTACCAAGCTGTCGTTATTTCAATTCCCGTGCGCCTACAGAGGGAAATATGAATTATGATTAATTTCTCAACATTTCTGAGAATGTATTGGTTAGACAGACGGACAAACCGAATAATTATGCCTCTGTTTAAAAAAACTGCGCCTCAACAAAACATTAAACGGAAAATATGGGCTACATTTTTTTCCAGTTTACCAAAAACATCAGCCTAGATCTGCCCTTGGGGTTTGCGGGTGGTGGCGCCGATTGCATGGTTCGCCTCGGGCGCCAATTGCTGGCAGCTCGTCTAGGGCCGCCCCTGATTGTTCTTGGGAAAAGAGGATATGGGATGGAATTTTAAAGTGGAGGCAGCATTGCGAGGGAATAAGCGGAAAGAAACGTTTTGTGACCTGCAGTTTGGCGAGTTGGTGGGTGAATGGTGGATCGGTTGGTGAGTGAGCGTGTGAGTGACTGCGCAGTGAATGCACCGTGAGTGAATGCCCCGAGAGTAATTTACCTGGGGAGTGAATTCCCTCTACGCGTTATCTCTCACACAGACTTTGCGAAGCAGTACAAAGCAAGAGTCATGCTGCCCGCCACCGTGAGTTCCTGCGAGAACCACCCACTGCACCGTGTACTCGTCGTGGTTCCGTGTTAACCCTCTGTAGCAGCAAACGCACTCACACATTCATGCCCATACGTTCAGACGTGCCCAGTACATTCATCAGCAGCAGCAGTCGTAGCAGCAGCCATGGTCGATCCACTGCTGGATGAAGGCCTCCCCAAGCCACTGGTCCAAGTGATGTAATAATCCACGCAGCACCTGGGCACGAGCTACGTTCGTCTCTCCATCTGCACGCTGAACATCATCGCGAAACGCCTTTCTGTTCATTGGCTGCCACTCCATCGTTATCCTTGACCGTCCATCACAAACTCGTGACATCAATGCCGATTCACTGCACCCACACGTACACACCTCCGATTAGCACGGTTAGCTATGTACGGTGTGAAAGAAGTTCAACATACGTACACGTTGCACGCGACGATGATGATGCCATTGAAGATGTTCATGTATTTGACGATGATGATGATCAACTTTCTTGTTGATGTTGTAAATTATGGTGGTGATAAATGTGTTGCTGATGATGAAATTGAGGACACTAATGCATTAATAATAATTAAGATTGATGGTGAATTCAATGATGGTGTTCATGATGATGTTTATCAACCAATCAAATGTCGTTTAATATAGCGCCTTTTACAAGAACATGTACAGTATTATGATGTGTATTATGCTGATATTGATGATAGAGATGTAAATGATCATGATTTTCGTTATGATGATGGTGATATGAATAATGATGTTCATGATGATAATGTTAATGATTTTAGTTATGATGACGTTGATATTGACAATGATGTTAATGATGATGATTTTAACTATGATGATGATGCTGATGATTATGTCCCAGGCTCCATCGCGTGGAACCATCCGTCCGAGTACCACGTTTGATGCAAAGACCGATGCAGAGAGACTCAAGAAAGCGATGCGAGGCCTGGGTAACTACTCCCCCACAAACAGGCAACCTTGGACCAACTTTCACCCCAACGTTGGCTCAACGTTGGGCCAATGCTTTCAACCACATGCAAACGTTGAACCAACGCTAGAATGTTTATATATATGTGTATGTTGAACTTCTTTCGCACTGTACGCTACCAACCGTGGCTAACTGGAGTGTGGGGGAACGGACAGCAAACTGAACACAAAAAGCATTTCTAAAGAAATTAATTTTAATTCTAGATGCTTTAAGAGTGCATAGCTCCAGTGGCTTCTTAATATCGGAAGAGCATTCCAGACGGTCGCAGAAGCACATATTAAAGTGCGCGATGCGGTGAGCGTCTTTATTCGATGGCTAGCCAAAAGCCGCTACTGCGTGGATGACCAGAGTTCGCGTGATGGTTTATGCTCCTGTATACCAGATTCATGCCTGGTATACGGGAGGTTGTGGATTCCATCCTGATGCCTGTATATTTGGAGTTTGCATATCCTCCCCGTGGTCGCATGGATTTTTCTCCGGGTCCTCCGGTTTTGTTCCTCAACATTTAGAATCAACACGCGTTTAGAGTAATTGGCTGCTATAAATTTCAATATAAGCCACTTCGTTATTATTTGTGGCCAGGTCCATTTTTAAAAGAGCTATATAGCTCAGTGGGCCTTACCTGATAAATATATATTTTTTAACATTGTTATGTACGTCGAACTTCTTTCACGCCGGGTGTAGCCAACCGTGCTAAGCGGAGGTGCGGGGGAAAGACAACAAACTAAATGCAGAAAAGCAGTTCTATAGAAATTAGTTTTCAACCATGCGGCGGCGTGTGGCGTCGCCAGGCACGGACGAGGATGCGATGATCGACGTCCTGACACAGCGGAGCGCCGCTCAGCGACAGCAAATCACCGTGGCGTTCCGCAGCCTCACGGGGAAGGTGACAGAGACTCGGAGTAGGCGCGCACACAACCCGAACGTGACCCCTATCCCCCGAAACCCTACATACAGCAAAAACACAACCACACTGAACCTCAACCATAAGCCGAGCCCAGCATAGAAACCCTGCAGGAGGTCACAGGTTCGATTCCGGACCCTGGCGATGCCTGATGTGTATTTGGAGTCCGCGTGATCTCTCTCATTACACGTCCCTGCCTCCCTTCTCCACATTTACAAACACGCGTTTGTGTCGATGATGATGAAGCCACTTTGATGAGGTATCACGTGTGGCCAGGTCGCCTATGAAAAATAGCCGAAAGCACAGTGGCCTTTACCTGATGAAGAATAAGGTAGTTGAGTAAACAGCCATAACTTAAATCCTAACCATAACCCGAATTCTAAACCCGAAGTACAAACCCCAGCTTAAACCCTAACCCAAAACACGAACCCTAAACCAAAATAAAAAATCTAACCCATGACCTATATACTTGGTTGTCTCTGGCCTGAGCCCCTAAAAGCAGCAACACTCTAGCGCTGTCTTTGCACGAATAAACATCCGTGAGGTTTTACTGAATAGGTTATAATTAAATATTTTCTTAAATTACACGCTCATCCCCGCTCCCCCACGCAACGCTCACCCTCAGCCCCACTCTCTCACTGACAGTCGCTGGTGTCGGAGGTGGAATCTGAGGTGTCCGGAGACCTGGGAAGACTCCTCGTGTCTCTGCTGCTCACGCCGGCCATGCTGGATGCGCAGGACCTGCGGAACGCCATGAAGGTGAGCGACAGGGTGGGTGGGCGAGCGACGGGGTGGGTGGGTGACTGAAGGGGAGGGCAGGTGTGTGAGCTGCAGGGCGAGTGGGTGAGTGAGTGGGTGAGACGGTAAGTGAAGGAGTGTGTGGGTGAGTCTATCGGTAAATAATTAAATGAGTGAGAGTGTGAGTTGATAAGTGCGTCAATTTCTTGAGTGAGTTTATGAACTCCGGACTTGCTGGGTGAGTGAGTGGGTGGGTGAGTGGATGGGTGAGTGGATGGGTGAGTGAATGGGTGAGTTGGTGGGTGATTGAGTGGTGGGTAAGTGGGTGAGTGAGTGAGTGAGTGAGTCGGTGAATGAGTGGGTGAGTGAGTTTACTCGCCTGTCCCTCCACAGGGCGCCGGTACCAATGAGGAGACTCTAATGGAGATCCTCGGCACCCGGACCAACAAACAGCTGGGGGAGCTGGTGCTCGCATACCGCGAGGGTACCGGCGCTCACCGCTTCCACGCAGTTCACCAGCCCTCACGACCCAGCTCGGCAGCCCTCACCACCACCCAGCTCACTGGCCCTCACCACTATCAATCACCTTGCTTACCTGACCCTCCCCACCATCACTCAGCTCACCTGCGTCAAAGTTGTGGCCATGATTCAATATCGCAATGCAATTCGAGAATAGATTACCACACAGTAATTTCACTTATAATGTAGCTGCTTCTCGTGGCTGGAGAGGTCACATGACCACATTACCTACAACACGTAGGAATCAAAATACATCAATGTCCCCCAATGTCTCCCACAATCTCTCAATGTCTCCAAATGTCTCCCACTGTCTCCTAACGTCTCCTCATGTCTCCCACTGTCCCCAAATGTCTCCCACAATCTCCCAATGTCTTCCAATGTCTCCCGCTGTCTTCTAATATGTTACCATGTCTCCCACTGTCTCCTGATGTCTCCCACTGTCTCATAATGTCTCCCACTATCTTCGAATGTATCCCACTGACTCCCGCTGTCGTCCACCGTTTGCCAATGTATCCCATTGTCCGCCAATGTCTCCCAATGTCTTCCCATGTCTCTGGCCGTCTTCCACAGAGTACAAGACTAGCCCTGACGATGACATTGGCTCTGATACGACCGGCTACTTTGAAAAGACACTTCTGACCCTGCTGAGGGTGAGACACAAAGAACAGGGCTCGGAGTTGAGAGTCAGAGTTAGGGTTGGTGTCCGAAGTCAGGGGAAGCGTGTTAAAGGTTATTGTGAGGGTTGTGGTTAGGGGTCGGTTACGGCTCGGTGATGAAGACCACATTGATGATCATGATGACGAGGGTGAGCCAGAGGAAATGAGTGTTAAGGTTACAGTTGGGATTAGAATTAGGGTTGGTATTAGGGGTAAAGGTTATGGTTGATGATGGCAGCGACAATGATGGTGACTACAGTAGCTATGAAGATGATGATGACTCTGATTATTGTATGTTGAACTTCTTTCGCGCCATACGTAGCCAACCGTGCCAATCGACAACACTGATGATGACTGATTATTAAGGCGAAGGCAACACTGATGATGATTATACTGATGATGATGATGACCTCCCCAGGGCAGCCGTGATGAAAGTGGAAAACCAGACCTCCAGCAGGCACAGAAGGATGCAAAGGTAAAGGTCAAGAGGTCGCGTGTCCGGATTGTGGGGTGGTAGCAGCAAGTGTCATGGGAAATAGAGGGGGCTCGGAGGAACGTGAGTGGGGGAGCGCGGGTGGCTCAGAGGTCAGAGCGCTGAGCCAGCACCACTGAGTCCCTGGGTTCGAATCCAGGGTTCAGCCGCCTGTGGTTAAACCGGGCTCTCAAATGTGGCGAGTTGATGGTCTCGGCCTGGTCACCAGTGATTACATAGAGAGCCACAGACTTACACAGAGACCCATAGACTCACATAGAGACCCAAAGATTCACATAGAGACCTAAACACTCACACAGAGACCCGTAGACTCACACAACGACCCATCGACTTAGACAGAGATCCATAGACTCACATAGAGACCCATAAACTCACATAGAGACCCATAGACTCACACAGAGACCCATAGGCTCGCACAGAGAACTATAGACTCACATAGAGACCCATTTACTCACTTAGAGAGCCATAGGCTCACACAGAGACCCATAGACTCACACAGAGACCCATATACTGAGTGTTGAGTCGATGGTTTCAACCCAGTCACCAATGATTGCACATGTAGGAAAAATAAGCAATCATTTGCACTTAATTTGGATAAATTCCAGCAGAGCATTAAAATATCAACGACTAATTTGTAATATTGCGCCCCGTGCCTGACATCCAGAATAATGATTTGTATTAATATTGGGGGAAAAGGTGCAATGACTGCACCCCACCTAAGCCCAGCACCAGACCTCACCTCCACTCACAGGGAGAGGGAGCCTGCATGTGTGTGCGTGGTGCTGGCCACCTACCGGTGCTTCGAACCTGGTGATCCAGATTCGATTCCCGCTCATGGTCAAGACACCTGGTCCTGGGCCTCCCCTAGGTCGAATCAGCCTCAAATGAGTACCTGGTGCAATGTGTAAACATTGCCACTAGGGAGACAAAGGCGGTCGGGCATTGTGTTGGCCACCCACCCCCTCGTGTGCCGTGCCGGCCTTTATAGGTGCTCGCTAACAGCACTTGTCCCAGCAGTCTGTTCATGCTACGCGGGGGATCTTCGTCTTTGCGTGGTGTGGACCCCAGGTGCTGTACGAGGCTGGAGAGAAGAAGGTCGGGACGAATGAGGATACGTTCATCTCCGTGCTGTGTGGCCGCAGCGTCCCGCAGCTCAAGCTGGGTGAGTGGGACGCCCGATCCCAGTCATCGGCAGCGCGGCAGCGGCGACATTCGCGCTGCCTCGCAGCAACTAGGACCTGGGTTCGGTTCCCGACTCAGGCGTCTTTCTGCGTAGAGTGTGTGTGTTCTCCCCCCGTTCTGCAGAGCCCAGTTCGATTCGCGCTTACGGCCAACACCCAGTGACGATTATCTGAATCAGCCCTGGGCCTCTCTTAGGTCGACTCAGCCTCAAATGAGTACCCGGTGCAGTGTGTCTAAACATCGCTACTGGGAGACAAACGCTGGCCACCCACTCCCTTCGTGTGCCATGGCGGCCTTCGTAGGCTATAAGGGGAATCTTTGTCTTTGTATTGTTAACCGGTATTTGTAAAAAAATTCAGAAAAATTACACCACTAATTATTCAATTCGGATCAAACAGCAGCAGCAACATTGTGCCCCCTCCCTTACCGTGAAAGAAACGTGGCAGAATCCTCCTGAAAAAGAGTCTTGAGATTTGGTGAGGTCGAATATTTTGTTATCGAACGAAAAAGTTTTATTTTTGTCTCTCTTTTCAAAATTCCTTCTCCTACATCTCTTTCTGCCAACTCCCTCCTCATCCCCTGGGGCTTTCTTCATCTCCCTCATTCAGGTTTCCCATTCGCCACGGTGGCAAGGTGTTAACCATCTCGCCTGGTATACAGGAGGTCGTGAGCGAGGTCCCAACCCTGACGCCTGCTGTATATTTGGAGTTTGCATGCTCACTCTCCCCGTGATCACGTGGATTTTTCTCCAGGCCCTCCGATTTTCCCTCCACATTTATAATCAACATGCGTTTCGAGTATTTGGTTGCTATACATATACACATAAGCCACTTCGTTGAGCTATCGTTTGTGGCCAGGTCGCTTCTGAAAAAGAGCACGTATAGCTCAATGGGCCTTACCTAGTAAAATGAAAAAGTTAAGTTTTTGTTTAAATCATAATAATTTGCAGCACGTGGTGAATCCAGTGCTGGACAAGACGCCGTGTCTGTCATTGGGGTTGTTTGACCTACTTAACCACGCCGGTGCCCGTGTGTGCATGTGTTCTCCACATGGTAGTGTAGTGGTTAGCGCGCTGCGCTACAAACCTGGCGACCTGTATTCAAATCCCACTCATGACCAACACCAGTGACGATTATTTGAACCGGTCCTGCGCCTCCACTAAGTCGACTCAGCCTCAATTGAGTACCTGGTGCAGTGTGTAAACATCGCCACTGGGGGGACAAAGGTGGCCAGGCGTGGTGCTGGCCCCCCACCCCCTCGTGTGCCGTGCTGGCCTTCATAGGTGCTGCCCGCTAACAGCACTTGCCCCAACAGTCTGTTCAGGCTATACGGGGGATCTGTGTCTTTGTTATCCACAGTGTGTGAGGAGTACCGCAAGGTGAGCTCCAAGGACCTGGAGGACGTCATCAAGAGCGAGACTTCAGGGTCCTTCAGAGACCTACTGCTGGTCATAGGTGCGGACGCACGTGCACATGTACACACGGACAAATATCCCTCGTATAGACTTATCAGACTGCTAAACTAAACTAGAAAACAAACAATTTGTAATTTTACCACGTAAGGCTCACCGAGCTGAATAGCTCTTTTTCAGAAGCGACCTGGCCACACATGATGACTCAACGCAGTGGCATATCATGCGGACATTTATAGCAGCCAAATACTCGAAACGCGTGGTTCTAAATGTGGAGGGAAAAACCGTAGAGTCCGGAGAAAAATCCACGCAACCACGGGGACAACACGCAAACTCCAAATATACAGCAGCAGACGTCAGGATCGGGATCAAACCCACGTCTCCCTGTATACCAGGCGAGGTAGTTAACATCCCACCACCGTGTCACCCCTGTTGGGGCAAGTGCTGCTAGTGAGCACCTATGGCTAGCGCTGTGCCCGCCCGCCTTTCTCTCCCCAGTGGCAATGTTTCATGCACACTGCACGAGGTACTCAATTAAGGTTGAACCGACCTAGGGGAGGCCCAGGACCGGTTCAGATATTTGTCGCCAATGTTGGCCGTGAGCAGCGAAATAACTGGGGTCGCTGAGTTCAGAGTGCAATTCAGTGCTAACCACTGCGCCGCCACTCCCCACACACGCGCACACACACACACACACACCTACAAGTGTACAACATACGCACATTTCTCTGCGCAGCACAACGTCACACATCCATCTCGCTGGGGAGGTGTAGGCGGATGTATGGAGAAGTCGGATACGTGAGCGGCACAGTGGCATCATGGTAGTGGCACTCGCGCCTCGCAGCCAGAAGGTCCCCGGGTCGCTTCCTGACTGCTGTGTGCGTGGAGTTTGCTCTGCGTGGGTTTTCGTCCAGGTTCCCTGGTGGCCTCCCCCCCCATAGCTAAAACACTGACACAACGTAACCGGCATCGGCCAAAATACATTCCAATGCGGGGTCACACACACACAGCAGCAGCAGCAGCTGCGGCATCTGTCCCTCCTGCAAAAACTTGGCAGGACCCTCCTGAAAAAGTCTTGAGACTCTATGAAGCTTTCCTGGGTAAACAAGCGTAGTGATAGTAATATGCACAAACATTGCACTGGGTGTGGGCAGTCGATTGGTCAGGGCGGATCGTGCAACGGTTGGAAACGCTACGATGTTCTGCACCTTTAAACTCCGCGAATGAAGCGGAGGCTCCCTTTGACGGCCTGGCCTGTCAGCTTTCCCTCTGCGTCTGTGTTGTTCTCTTGCAGTGAAGTGTGCCAAGAACACCGCCACCTATTTCGCTGAGCGACTGAACTCGGCATGCAAGGTGAAAAGGAAACATTGGAGCATCCATTGATTTAAAACCGCTTCGGAAATCCATATATGCGATGAAAATTGCCATGCATTCAGTTCATTTGAGCTGTATTTTTTTTTTAGCAGGTAAGGCCAACTGAGCTGTATAGCTCTTTTTCAGAAACGACCTGGCCATAAATTACCGCTCAACCAAGTGACTTATCGTGTGGAATTCTTATTGAAGCCAAATGCTCTAAACGTGTGATGTTGATTCCAAACGTGGAGGGAAAAACCGGAGGACCCGGAACAAACGTCCACGCGACCACGGGGAGAGTGAACACACAAATTCCAAATACACAGCAGGCATCAGGGTCAGGATCGAACCCACAACCTCCTGGATACCAGGCGAGGGAGATCACTTTTCACCACCGTGGCTGGATAAGGCTGAGAGGGTCTTCGTACATGGGGATGCTGCGTGCACTCACACGTGCGTTGTTAAATCTACTCCAGGCATTCATTTTATTCATGCACAGAGAGCCCTCTTGACAATCCACTGCTGGGCTTCAGAGGATTATTTATCCATAGTTCACCCGAGCATGAAGGGGAGCTGGAGGGGGGATAAACCCCCGTTTCCCCCCCCCACCCTTCCCCACCGCTACTAAAGGATCAGCCCCCATTTTCAAGTCTTGTAGTTAGGTCAGAAATTATTTTAAAAACAGCAGTTGTAGATCTTCCGGAAGCTTCGCACCAATTGCCCATTGATCGTCTGCTTTGGTAAAGGGCAAAAGCGCAGCCCTGCAATTGCTTCACTCGTGCCACTACTGTGGCAGGTCCTCCGCGAGAGGGAGCTCTGGAGAGACCCTAGGCAGGTGGGATACACGCACGCTACGCCCAGTGTTGGTATCGATCCCGTCGTTTAATTCCCCTGGCTTCATTTCGCTCGATCTCACCGTTCTGCTGTCGCTGCTGGGTGGGGATCTGAATGCAATGCACCTCCGCTTAGCACGGTTGGCCACGTACGGTGCAGATGAAGTTCAACATACATACGTACGGCGCACCTCCGATGAGGATGGTTAGCTATGTACGGTGCAAAAGAAGTTCAAGATGCATACCTCCGACGAACACAGTTGGCTATGTATGGTGCGAAAGAAGTTCTACATACATACATACGACGCACCCTCCGATTAGCATGGTTAGCTATGTATTGTGTGAAAGAAGTTCTACATACATACAGCGAAGCGATGGGACATTACAGCATTTCGTCCGACAACACAGTGGCCCGAGAGCCAGACCAGACCGCACGACAAACAAACACGGATCGTCGATGCTCAATCTATTTAGCGGTTACCACTCGCTGACAGCTTAACACTGCCTCCCTCGTGCCACCTATGAAGTGTGCATGCTCCCCCCACCCCACTATGCTGCAGGGCTGCGTAACCTCTCACGCCCCACCCCCCCCCCCCCCGCCTCGGTGGGACAGGGCTGCGGGACGCAAGACCGCACGCTCATCCGCGTGCTGGTGTCCCGTAGCGAAATTGACCTCCAGGACGTGAAGGTCCAGTACCTGGAAAAGTACGGAAAGCCCCTGAGCCAGGTCATCAAGGTGAGAACAGTTCGCCGGATCTTTTTTTTTTCCACCGCGCAGCTGCACTGAGCTGGCTCAGCATGGTCCTGGCACCAGGTTCTGTCCACTGCAATGTCGCCAAGGTCGTATGCGGCATACGAGTCGACACGTGTGTAAGGCGCTGGGGTGGCAAGATGTTAACTTCTTCGCCTAGTATACAGGAGGTCGTTGATTCGATCCCGACCCCGATGCCTGCTGTATATTTGGAATGTGTGTATCTCTCTCCCCGTGGCCACGTGGATTTTTCTCCGGACTCTAAAGTTTTTAGATTTAAAGCTTTCGTGACTGCAAGGATCCATACTCTCTGATTTTTGTTATTTTATATTTTTTACCTACGTGACTTTACCAATAGAACCAGAGAGTGTGTCTAAAGTTTTTCCCTCCACATTTACAAACGTGCATTTCAAGTATTTGGCTGCTATAAATGTCCACATGATAAGCCACTTCGTAATCATTTGTGGCCAGGTCGCTTCTGAAAAAGAGCTATTCAGCTCAGTGGTCCTTACCTGGTAAAATTACAAAAAATAGTTGAATAGACAACGCGGTGGCTCCGCGTCCTAGCAGCGTACAGACCAATGTCACGGTGAGCAGGAGGAGAGGTGCCTGGCTGGGCCCGTTGATAGCGTTGCCACCTCTGATGTCTAAAAAAAACGGGACACGTCGTTGGAAGAAGACGAATGCCTCGCGATAGCAGCGGAGGGCGGAGGGGGAGTACTGCGTGTGAACGCGATATATTCATTACCACGCAAAGAGGTCCATATTGACTGAGTTGTAATGAAACCATCTTCTCAAGTGTCGCGAGATGATGGACTCGGCACTGATGTCTTCCTCCATACAGACTCACGGACTAAGGTAAAAGGCCCACGGACTTGCATAAAAAATAATAGATTTACAATCTTCTTTTTTCGTATGGCTGATGCAGAGCGACAACTACAATTTCACATTCAGGTGGTCAACCCAGATAACTGTCAGGAGCAGCAGAATGTATCGCCATAATGTCTCCTTCGTATTTGTGGATCGGGCACTGCGTCATTATGTTGTACATTCTGTTCTAGATGACCACAGTCGCATAATGGAGAGTTTTTAAAGCTCCATTTGTTCATCAGGTATCCGCATCTGTGCAGTGGATGCGATTTAGGGTGGATCATGAGCTTCGTGGAAGATTAAACCCAAGGGATCTTATACGTTGGGTCTTTCACGAGGTGTCTGTTTGCGAGTTCTTTTGAACTCCATTTAGCTCTCGATTAGATTCACACCGAGACCCATATACTTCACACAGACATGCATGGAGACCCAGAGATTCGCACAGGGACGGCGTAGTAAGACCCGCGCAGACCGCGTTGCCACCTAAGCCTCGTGTTCTCTCAGGTAGAGAAGTCGGGGTCAATTGTGCTTCACCCGTGGGCCTCTCCCGTGTGTTCCCAGGAGGAGACGTCCGGGGACTACCTCAAGGCCCTGCTCAAGGTGTGCGGAGATAATGCGTGAGGGAGCCCGTGGGAACCCGTGAGTGGCAGGAGGAGGGACCCAGCGAACGTGGAACGTTGAGGCAACGTTGGGCCAGCCACGGTGCTGACGTTTAGGGCAGTGTCGGCATGTTTACTGGCAATTTGCAGCATCACCATCATCTACACCATCATAAAATGAAACACTCACGTGTTATGCATACATTTTACGTAGATAAATTCAGGGGTGCGGGAAGCCACAAAAAAGTGCAAAGGTAGCCAGAACAATCGCCCAAGCTTTGTGGTCCTAGATTGTTGATGTTTGGCTAACTCCATCAGTCATTATCCCTGTGGGAAGAAACCGGAGCACCCAGACATGCGAGTGGGTTGACGTGCTACGGATGGAATACAGATGGAAATTAATCAACTTGGGTGTACTACCATCATATCCTGGCGAGCCGGGAGATAGCAACCTCATCGGATGACAGAGACGCGTAAGCCACTATCATAACCACTATCATCATCAGTGTCATAATTACCATCATCACAACCACCATTGTCATCATCGGTGTCACGATCACCACCACAACCACCATCGTCATCACTGCCATCATCATCAGTATCATCATTACCATCATCACAACAGTGTCACTATCATCACCACCAACATAATCAGCCGCATCATCAGCAGAGGCCGCATCATCAGCAGGTTAAATAAAGGATGCCAAGTCAGAGGAGACACTGTCCAGACCATGCCCACTCGCTTTTCTCAACAATCGTAGATGCTTTTCTTGAACCTGCGTCCGTGTCCTCCGCGCGCTCCTCCTCTCTGTCTCTTGTTGCGCCGCATCTCTCCACGCTTTTGTGGCACTTTTCAGTTTTCCTTCCAATCTCTTGTTGGGGTTTTTTGTTTGGTTGTTTGTTCCATGACCCCATTTAGAATCCGTGTTTCACAGTAGCCCGTGTGCTAGAGTGGCATACCCGTCAACCCCTCGTCATTGCCCTATCTTGTACCAGACCAATTCAGACCTTACCCTTGTAAATCTCAACGTTCGTCTTACGAAGTGCCATCACAAGGGAGAAACACAAATAGACAGAAAAATGTGTCCGTATTGAAATGGCTGTACGCCGTATGGACCTGAAAACTCAATTTCCCTGTACAAGAACACGGGGTCAAACCGTATGGGTTGACACGGTATGGCAGTGATGGTGGTGTTGGCAACTTGTGGATTTACTATTACGAGCGAGATGATTGTGATTGATTGATGATTCCGATTGTTTACCCAAGGATTAAAGCCTCGCAAAGTCTCAAGCCTTTTTATTATTATTATTACACGCTTTCTATTAACTCTGTTGCTGTCGTATCCTCAAATCTTGTAACTCAATTTTAACTCACTTCCCAATGTAGTATCGACTGCAAACTTGGTATACGTATGTCATACTGATGACAATACTATATTCTATCATAAAAATACAAAAAATATTTTTAAACATTATTTTTTATATGTTATGTTTCGCCTTGGGTCTAATTGTCCACGCTCAACTGACGTTGGCTGTAAATCACCACGGTCCCCATACGTTGTGGCAAGCTTCGGGGCCACTTCCTGGAGTCGTGGAGTTCTTCCATTACTAGTACGGTACATTTCATTAAAGCATGTTTAAAAAAAAACGTTTTTTTTATTATTACTTATTTTCAGGATTCAATCATCTGGGGGCTGTTGCCGCTACTGCTGCTGTTGCCGCTTGGCAATAGTGCACTCACACCAACACACTTGTCAAGTGTGGGCCCCTAAATAATTATTTGATTATAATCAAATATATAATCGGCAACGTTTCAGGCAATGGTTAAATGTGCGATGGGGGTATTGCCCAAAACGTCGCTTATTGTATATTGTTATCTCCTTTTAAGGCCACACACACACGTCGTTACTGACGACGTGTGTGTGTGTTTTGAGTTTCTTGCGAGGTAACGCTCTGCTGCCTGCAACAGTACAATTGCACGTGGTGGTCCAGATGTCCAGTGACCCCCCCCCAATGAATTGACCCCTAAAATATTTTGTTCCTTTGCACGTTCATTTCAGTTCATTTATTTTGGTATAGCCCTGTGAGACATTCGGCGTTTGAAATTAAAACAGAAATGAGCGTGCAAAAGAACAAAAAATGTTAGTCAATGGGGGGGGGGGGGGGGGGGGGGGAGTCACAAGACACCTGGACCACCCTGTACAGTCCGCTGTATATTGAATGCTAATTCCGAACCTGGATGCTGACTCGGTCCGTCTAGATTTATTGGAATAAGCAGCACACACACACACTCTCGTGGATAAGAAGTACCCCCCGGGGGACCGTGACTCGCGTGTCCGTTCATGCACCTTCGTGCCATTGGCACCGTTATGCAGTTGTTTATTTGCTCCTCGTTATCATTCGCACGAACATCATCCACCGTCAATGTCTCCGAGAATCGTCCCGTTGCGCAAGTGACTGCGCGCTCCCTCACAATTTCAGAGCCCTTTATACGACCGCGGTCCCTTGCGAGAGTCGAACCGCAAAGGAACGCAGTCCTTCTGTGAAGTCGCCGTCGGTGTAGACCAGCGCATTATAAATAACCGCGGTTCCTTGTGAGTCTATACAATATTACGGAGCAAATCATTGCGGTCCCTTATATGACTGTAAATGACTGCGGTCCCTTATTAATATTACATCCAAATGGCCACGGTCCCTTATTAATATTACATCTAAATGGTCGCGGTCCCTTATTAATATTACATCCAAATGGCCGCAGTCCCTTATTAATATTACATCCAAATGATCGCGGTCCCTTATTAATACATCCAAATGGCCGCGGTCCCTTATTAATATTACATCCAAATGGCCACGGTCCCTTATTAATATTACATCCAAATGGCCACGGTCCCTTAATAATATTATATTCAAATGGCCGCGGTCCCTTATTAATATTACATCCAAATGGTCGCGGTCCCTTATTAATATTACATCCAAATGGTCGCAGTCCCTTATTAATATTATATTCAAATGGCCACGTTCCCTTATTAATATTACATCCAAATGGTCGCGGTCCCTTATTAAGATTACATCCAAATGGTCGCGGTCCCTTATTAATATTACATCCAAATGGTCGCGGTCCCTTATTAATATTACATCCAAATGGTCGCGGTCCCTTATTAATATTATATTCAAATGGCCACGTTCCCTTATTAATATTACATCCAAATGGTCGCGGTCCCTTATTAATATTACATCCAAATAGTCGCGGTCCCTTATTAATATTACATCCAAATGGTCGCGGTCCCTTATTAATATTACATCCAAATGGTCGCGGTCCCTTATTAATATTACATCCAAATGGTCGCGGTCCCTTATTAATATTACATCCAAATGGTCGCGGTCCCTTATTAATATTATATTCAAATGGCCACGTTCCCTTATTAATATTACATCCAAATGGTCGCGGTCCCTTATTAATATTACATCCAAATGGTCGCGGTCCCTTATTAATATTACATCCAAATGGCCACGGACGACAATCCATAGCTGACAACCCACGCGCTTGACTAGAATTCTTGTACAGTGAAACCTTGGATTGCGAGCATAATTCATTCCGGAAACGTGCTCGTAATCCAAAGCACTCGTATATCATAAGAAATCATGGAAACTCAGATTATTCGTTCCACAACCCAAAATTACTGTATTCATATAAAAATGATTAATACAAAATACCTTTTTATATTTTTATTATTTAAATTTAATATAAAGTAATCAAATTTATTAATTACATTTAATCGTGGCTGGTGTGAGGGAGACGAGAGAGAGGATGAGGGTTATTGTACAGATGAGGGTTATTGTACAGTTACTAAAGAAGTCACTACACTTGGATACAAAATAAAAAAAAATATTTACGCACACACACGTGGTCACAGCACTATAGTACTGTGGTAAACAGTATACACGTGGTCACAACACTATAGTACTGTAGCAAACGGTATACACGTGGTCACAACACTATAGTACTGTAGTAAACAGTATACACGTGGTCACAACACTATAGTACTATAGTAAACAGTACACACGTGGTCACAACACTATAGTACTGTAGTAAACAGTACACACGCGGTCACAACACTATAGTACAGTAGTAAACAGTATACACGTGGTCACAACACTATAGTACTGTAGTAAACAGTACACACGTGGTCACAACACTATAGTACTGTAGTAAACAGTACACACGTGGTCACAACACTATAGTACTGTAGTAAACAGTATACACGTGGTCACAACACTATAGTACTGTAGTAAACAATATACAGTGTGTATAAATGACCACGGTCCCTTACGAGTGCAGTATATATGACCACGGTCCCTTACGTGTGCAGTATAAATGACCACGGTCCCTTAAGTGTGCAGTATAAATGACCACGGTCCCTTACGTGTGCAGTATAAATGATTACGGTCCCTTACGTATGCATTATAAATTATCACGGTCGCTTACGTATGCAGTATAAATGATCACGGTCCCTTGAGTATGCAGTATAAATTATCATGGTCCCTTACGTATGCAGTATAAATGATCATGGTCCCTTACGTGTGCAGTATAAATGATCACGGTCCCTTACGTATGCATTATAAATGATCACGGTCGCTACGTATGCAGTATAAATGATCACGGTCCCTTACGTGTGCAGTATAAATGATCACGGTCCCTTACGTATGCATTATAAATGATCACGGTCGCTTACGTATGCAGTATAAATGACCACGGTCCCTTACGTATATAGTATAAATGACCACGGTCCCTTAAGTATACAGTATAAATGACCACGGTCCCTTACATGTGCAGTATAAATGATCACGGTCCCTTACGTATGCATTATAAATGATCACGGTCCCTTGAGTATTCAGTATAAATGACCACGGTCCCTTACGTATATAGTATAAATGACCACGGTCCCTTAAGTATACAGTATAAATGACCACGGTCCCTTACGTATACAGTATAAATGACCACGGTCCCTTACGAAGAGCCGTGTAAAAATGATCGCAGGCTGCGTTGGCTCATCGGATTTCAGGGTCGAGTTTTAATGATCAGGGAGGAGGTGGTTGGTGATGGTGATGATCGTGGTGGTGGTGTAAAGACGATCACCACCAGCGCTTGTGCCAGGCCAGGTGTACACTTGCGAAGGGCAGGCACAGATGTACATGCACGGTATGACAGACGCGCACGGAAACGGAGGTAACGGTCAAATGTGCAGACGCACTGACGAGACACAGAGACCAAGTGACACACACACAACATAGACTCTGCGTCGGAGGGGTTCTCGCTCGCCCGAGTGAGCTGGGGGGAGGCGACGGCATCCAAGGGTAGAGATTTCGCGGGGTAGAGATTTCGCGGACCATGTCTGAAGACTACGAGGGGAAACTCGAGAGGTTCCGAAGGAGCCACACGAACCCCTTCAACTCCTCCACGTCGTCCGGCACCACGACCACCACCAACACCACTCACGACTCCACCACCACCAACCACAGCGACATGGAGGAGACGGCGGAGGGAGGCGGCCAGTCGCACGGTGACCACCACTGAAGTTTTGTGTGTGTGGTGTGTGTAGTATGTTGTGTGTGTAGTATGTAGTGTGTGTTGTGTGTGTAGTATGTAGTGTGTGTAGTATGTAGTGTGTGTAGTATTTAGTGTGTGTAGTATGTAGTGTGTGTGTTTTGTGTGTGTAGTATGTAGTGTGTGTTGTGTGTGTAGTATGTAGTGTGTGTTGTGTGTTTTGTGTGTGTAGTGTGTGTTGTGTGCGTAGTATGTAGTGTGTTTTGTGTGTGTAGTGTGTGTGTTTTGTGTGGTGTGTGTAGTGTGTGTGTTGTGTGTGTAGTATGTGTGTGTTTTGTGTGTGTAGTATGTGTGTGTTTTGTGTGTGTAGTATGTTGTGTGTGTGTTTTGTGTGTGTAGTATGTTGTGTGTGTGTTTTGTGTGTGTAGTATGTTGTGTGTGTGTAGTATGTTTTGTGTGTGTAGTATGTTGTGTGTGTAGTATGTTGTGTGTGTGTTTTGTGTGTGTAGTATGTTGTGTGGGTGTTTTGTGTGTGTAGTATGTTGTGTGGGTGTTTTGTGTGTGTAGTATGTTGTGTGTGTGTTTTGTGTGTGTAGTATGTTGTGTGTGTGTTTTGTGTGTGTAGTATGTTGTGTGTGTGTTTTGTGTGTGTAATATGTTGTGTGGGTGTTTTGTGTGTGTAGTATGTTGTGTGGGTGTTTTGTGTGTGTAGTATGTTGTGTGTGTGTTTTGTGTGTGTAGTATGTTGTGTGGGTGTTTTGTGTGTGTAGTATGTTGTGTGTGTGTTTTGTGTGTGTAGTATGTTGTGTGGGTGTTTTGTGTGTGTAGTATGGTGTGTGTGTGTTTTGTGTGTGTAGTATGTTGTGTGTGTGTTTTGTGTGTGTAGTATGTTGTGTGTGTGTTTTGTGTGTGTAGTATGTTGTGTGTGTGTTTTGTGTGTGTAGTATGTTGTGTGTGTGTTTTGTGTGTGTAGTATGTTGTGTGTGTGTTTTGTGTGTGTAGTATGTTGTGTGGGTGTTTTGTGTGTGTAGTATGTTGTGTGGGTGTTTTGTGTGTGTAGTATGTTGTGTGGGTGTTTTGTGTGTGTAGTATGTTGTGTGGGTGTTTTGTGTGTGTAGTATGTTGTGTGGGTGTTTTGTGTGTGTAGTATGTTGTGTGGGTGTTTTGTGTGGGTGTTTTGTGTGTGTAGTATGTTGTGTGGGTGTTTTGTGTGTGTAGTATGTTGTGTGGGTGTTTTGTGTGTGTAGTATGTTGTGTGGGTGTTTTGTGTGTGTAGTATGTTGTGTGGGTGTTTTGTGTGTGTAGTATGTTGTGTGTGTGTTTTGTGTGTGTAGTATGTTGTGTGTGTGTTTTGTGTGTGTAGTATGTTGTGTGTGTGTTTTGTGTGTGTAGTATGTTGTGTGTGTGTTTTGTGTGTGTAGTATGGTGTGTGTGTGTTTTGTGTGTGTAGTATGTTGTGTGTGTGTTTTGTGTGTGTAGTATGTTGTGTGTGTGTTTTGTGTGTGTAGTATGTTGTGTGTGTGTTTTGTGTGTGTAGTATGTTGTGTGTGTGTTTTGTGTGTGTAGTATGTTGTGTGTGTGTGTTTTGTGTGTGTAGTATGTTGTGTGTGTGTGTTTTGTGTGTGTAGTATGTTGTGTGTGTGTGTTTTGTGTGTGTAGTATGTTGTGTGTGTGTGTTTTGTGTGTGTAGTATGTTGTGTGTGTGTTTTGTGTGTGTAGTATGTTGTGTGTGTGTTTTGTGTGTGTAGTATGTTGTGTGTGTGTTTTGTGTGTGTAGTATGTTGTGTGTGTGTTTTGTGTGTGTAGTATGTTGTGTGTGTGTTTTGTGTGTGTAGTATGTTGTGTGTGTGTTTTGTGTGTGTAGTATGTTGTGTGTGTGTTTTGTGTGTGTAGTATGTTGTGTGTGTGTTTTGTGTGTGTAGTATGTTGTGTGTGTGTTTTGTGTGTGTAGTATGTTGTGTGTGTGTTTTGTGTGTGTAGTATGTTGTGTGTGTGTTTTGTGTGTGTAGTATGTTGTGTGTGTGTTTTGTGTGTGTAGTATGTTGTGTGTGTGTTTTGTGTGTGTAGTATGTTGTGTGTGTGTTTTGTGTGTGTAGTATGTTGTGTGTGTGTTTTGTGTGTGTAGTATGTTGTGTGTGTGTTTTGTGTGTGTAGTATGTTGTGTGTGTGTTTTGTGTGTGTAGTATGTTGTGTGTGTGTTTTGTGTGTGTAGTATGTTGTGTGTGTGTTTTGTGTGTGTAGTATGTTGTGTGTGTGTTTTGTGTGTGTAGTATGTTGTGTGTGTGTTTTGTGTGTGTAGTATGTTGTGTGTGTGTTTTGTGTGTGTAGTATGTTGTGTGTGTGTGTAGTATGTAGTATGTTGTGTGTGTGTGTAGTATGTTGTGTGTGTGTGTAGTATGTAGTGTGTGTGTAGTATGTAGCGTGTGTTTTGTGTGTGTAGTATGTAGCGTGTGTTTTGTGTGTGTAGTATGTAGCGTGTGTTTTGTGTGTGTAGTATGTAGCGTGTGTTTTGTGTGTGTAGTATGTAGCGTGTGTTTTGTGTGTGTAGTATGTAGCGTGTGTTTTGTGTGTGTAGTATGTAGCGTGTGTTTTGTGTGTGTAGTATGTAGCGTGTGTTTTGTGTGTGTAGTATGTAGCGTGTGTTTTGTGTGTGTAGTATGTAGCGTGTGTTTTGTGTGTGTAGTATGTAGCGTGTGTTTTGTGTGTGTAGTGTGTAGCGTGTGTTTTGTGTGTGTAGTATGTAGCGTGTGTTTTGTGTGTGTAGTATGTAGCGTGTGTTTTGTGTGTATAGTGTGTAGCGTGTGTTTTGTGTGTATAGTGTGTGTGTGTAGTGTGTGTGTGTTTTGTGTGTGTAGTGTGTGTGTGTTTTGTGTGTGTAGTGTGCAGCGTGTGTGTTTTGTGTGTGTAGTATGTAGTGTGTGTGTAGTGTGTGTGTTTTGTGTGTGTAGTGTGTGTGTAGTGTGTGTGTTTTGTGTAGTGTGTGTGTTTTGTGTGTGTTTTGTGTGTGTAGTGTGTGTGTAGTATGTAGTGTGTGTGTTTTGTGTGTGTAGTGTAGTGTGTAGTGTGTGTTTTGTGTGTGTAGTGTAGTGTGTAGTGTGTGTTTTGTGTGTGTAGTGTGTGTAGTGTGTAGTATGTAGTGTGTGTGTAGTATGTAGTGTGTGTGTAGTGTGTGTGTAGTATGTAGTGTGTGTAGTATGTAGTGTGTGTAGTGTAGTGTGTGTAGTATGTAGTGTGTGTTTTGTGTGTGTAGTGTGTGTGTAGTGTGTGTAGTGTGTGTGTAGTATGTAGTGTGTGTAGTATGTAGTGTGTGTGTAGTGTGTGTGTAGTATGTAGTGTGTAGTGTGTGTTTTGTGTGTGTAGTGTGTGTGTAGTATGTAGTGTGTGTAGTGTGTGTTTTGTGTGTGTGCCCACCTGGGGAGCGGTGGTGTCGCGGTTAGCGCGCTGTGCTTCAAACCCGGACGACCCGAGTTCGATTGCCGCTCACGACCACCAAAACCGGTGAACTGGTTCTGGTGCCTCCCCCTTAGGTCGACTCAGCCTCAAATGAGTGCTCGCTAACAGCACTTGCCCCAACAGTCTGCAAAGGCTATACGGGGGGGGAAACTTTCTTTGTTGTGTGCACCAAGCCTGGCACAGCAGCCGTGGTTACGTCACTTGGTGGTGATTGTGTGGTGTTGCTGATGTTGCTGATGCATTTGCAGGAACCAGCGACTCTGAGTCTCGGGAGACGGAATCGGAGCTGGAGTTGGGGGCGGAATTGGGGCTCACGGAGAATCATTTTCCTCCCCCGCACGTGAGAGCCCCCCCCCCACATCACAGAAATCCCCCCCCACAGATATCCCCCCCTCCCGTGTGTGTAGTGAGCGGTAGTGTAGCGGTGATTGCGCTGCGCTACGAATTCGACGACCCGAGTTCGATTCTCACTCACGGCCAACACCGGTGTCGATTATCTGAACTGGTCCTGGGCCTCCCCAAAATGCGGCCGGGCTTGGGGCTGGTCACCCACCCCGTCGTGTGCCGTGCCAGGTGCTGCTCGCTAACAGCACTTTCCCCAACAGTCTGTTAAGGCTATACGGGGGGGTATCCTTGTCGTTGTATCTATGTGTGTGTGTGTCTTGTTTATCTATTAATATAAAAGGAAATATGTGAATGTGTGTCTCTTCGAAATGTTTAGCATACTTCCCGACATGCAACAAACTTGAAATTTGGCATGTGCGTAGTTTACAGACTGTACAGAATGTAAAAAGTATAAAAATATACTTTTGTATTTTGGGCGGGGGGGGGGGCGCAATAATGGATATATTAAATTGTACGGCAAGTGAGCGGTGACGTCACATCTGTGATGTCACCCGCATGCAGCAGCGTCACGCAGTGTGCCTGCTGACGTAACGCATCCCCCCCCACCCTCCGCGTAGGCCGTGTATTAATCCAAGACAAGAATCTAAGTCCCGGGCGAAGCCGGGTAGTAAAGCTAGTACAGTATATCCGTGTCTATCTGTGTGCGTATCACTGTTGTATATGTAGTGACTAATTCGGAGACACTAAGAGTTGGAGGCACTTCTTTTTTATTAACAAGCACCAACGGGGTTAACACTTTTATAATTAGTCCGTCTATGGACGGCGACGTTACTCAGTCGGGACAGTTGGTAGGCTGCCTGAGACGACGACAAGAAGAATGGTGAAGACTTCAGTAGCACGACACGGGTCCCACTTCATACGACAGCCCCGAGGTTCCCTACAGGGGCCCTTCTTATACTGTCAGCGTGGCCTGGCTCCGCCCCCTGGCCACGCCCTCTTTCTAGAACCTACCAGCGGGTTCTTCGTGTGCCCCATCTGTGACCTTTCCCCTAGATCCCCCTCTGGTGTCTAACCTGGCCTGCTGACTTCAGGGCTGCCGAAGCTGCAGATCCCCTTCCCTGCAAGTAGCCAGCGCTATGCTGCTACATTACTATTATTCTATGCCACTGCATACATATAGGGGAGTGGTAACACCAGTGACGACTATCCGAACCGGTCCGAGGCCTCCCCATTGATCAACTGAGCCTCAAATGAGTACCTGGTGCGGTGTGTAAACATCGATAGCTAGGGAGACAAAGGCGGCCGGGCGTGGTGTTGGCCACCCACCCCCTCGTGTGCCGTGCCGGCCTTCACAGGTGCTGCTTGCTCACGGCACTGGCCCTATAACAGTCTGTTCAAGGCCACATGGGGGATCTTTGTCGTGTATATATCCGTGTGTATGTGCGTGTGCAGGGCCTGGCCCACGTGAGCCGGCTGGAGGAGCTGGAGCACGCCGTGGAGATGTGCAAGGTGTCGGTGCTGGAGGCCTCCGAGTTCTCGGCTCGCCGCGAGCAGGCCCTGGCCAGGCTCGTCCAGCTCCGCATCAAGATCCAGGAGCTCAAGGCATGCGGGGGGAGGGGTGGGGTGGGGGGGGTGGATGTTATCTCCCTCGCCTAGTATGCAGAAGCCATGGGTTAGATCCTGAGCCCGACGCTTGTATATATGATGTCTACGTGTCTCTCTCTTTCCCCGTGGTCACGTGGATTTTGGTTTTTCCCCTCCCCACTGAGAATCTGGCTGATGCTATGAATTTCCACTTGAGAAGAAGCCCCTTCGTTGAGCTATCACATGTGGCCAGGTCACTTCTGAAGAAGAGCTACACAGCTCAGTGGGGTTTACCTGGTAAATAAATAAAATAGGGTTCGTTTTATTTTCGTTTACTGAACCAGTCAATTGACAGAGCCTTCCACTGGCTCTCTTGAACTCATGTAGAAACCTCAGAATCAGAGTTGTAATGGGAACACAGTAGCTGCCCCTGTGGAGCATCTTGAGCCACGGTCGTAGTCACATGCCATGTTAATCTACATAGTCAATAACGACCATTCACAACCCTCCTCTCCCTCATCTTCCCCTCCCACCACCTCTCTAACCCTTCCCTCCTTCCCCACTGCCATCCCCCCTATCTACCCATTCACCGCTCCCCTCCCACTCCCCTCCCCATCAGGAGCCAGAGGACGAGGAGCCGGACGTGAAGCTGCTGCTGGATCACCGCTTCCGCAAGCGGCACAGCCGGAGTGTGAAGCACAGCTGCGAGCGGTGCAGCACGCTCATCTGGGGCGTGCTGCAGACCTGGTACACCTGCTCAGGTGAGCGGGCGAAGCTGGCAGAGTCGACTGTCGGGCTCGTCCGATCAATTGCTCGCGAGCACAGAATCCGCGCACCGCTTACCAGCACCCGCCACGAGCGTGGAGGTTGTGGAGGTTGCAGCGGTCGCGGAGGTCACCGTACAATTTCACAGAGGTGGCGACCTGGCTCAGTGGTCCAAGGCGTGAAGCTGGCACTGCTGAGAGCCTGGGTTCCAATCCGGGTTTGAGCCCTGTGGCCGCAGCAACTACAACGGGTTCTCCAGTGCAAGCGAGTTGATGCTCTCAGCCCAGAGACACGTAAACTCGCATAGAGACCTGTAGACTCTTATAGAGACCCGTAAACCTACATATGGACCCAGAGAATCTGTAATCGGTGATCCGGGCTGAGACCTTCAACTCGCTGCACTTGAGATCCCAGTTTAATCACAACCCAGTCTATACAAGTGTCTGCGGGTTGCTATGCGAGTGTGTGTGTGTGTGTTTTTATGGGAATTTATGGGTCTCTAGATAAATATATGGGTTTCAATACGAGTCTGTGGGTGTCTATGCGAGTCATTCGTGACCAGAGTTGAACCCAGGTAACTCTGCAATGCCAGCACAGCATCTCTGATCACCGAGCCAAACTGCCACCCTTAATATTCATGCGTATAATTTTATCTATATCAACACAACTATATAACACGCGTCTCCTGCCACAGGCTGCCACTTCAACTGCCACAGCCGCTGCCTGGACTCCATTGTCAAGCGCTGCGTGAGGGTGAAGGTTAGCCACCAGTCTGAATTTGAGCTCCGCATTTGCCCGGAGCAGGGCCTGGACCGCCAAGGCTTCTGCTGTGCCGAGTGCCGTGCGCCCATTGCCATGGGTGAGCTTCCACCCCACCCTCTCTCTTCCTTACCCCAGCCTGCTGCCTGCCTGGCCCCTTCTTCGAGTCCAGGACCAAGACGGTCTCCCTCTCTCTCCCTCGCTCTCGCTCTCCTCTGCCTCTGACTGGCTGTGTCGTGTATGTATGTTGAAATTCTTTCGCACCGTACGTTGCCAACCGTGCTAATCGGAGGTGCGGGGGAAGGCCATCTTAGCCTCAATTGAGTACCTGGTACGATGTGTAAAAAAAAACATTGCCTCTAGAGAGACAAAGGCGGCCGGGCGTGGTGCTGGCCACCGACCCCCTCATGTACCGTGCTGGCCTTCATAGGTGCTGCTTGCTGTCTAACAGCGTCGGTCCCAACAGTCTCAGACTATAGGGGGAGGATCTTTGTCTCTGTGCATATTGTGAAACGCGGTAGCGAAGTGGTTAGCACAATCACTCCGAACCTGGCGACCCAAGCCAACGTCAATGAAAAATATCTGAACCAATCCTGGGCCTCCCCTAAGTCGACTCAGCTTCAAATAAGTATTTGGTGCGGTGTATAAGTATTACCACTGAGGCGGCGTGGTGCTGGCCACCCACCCCCCAGTGTGTAATGCCGGCCTTCATTGGCACTGGCTAACATCACTTGTACCAACAGACTGCTAAAGGCTACCTGGGGTACCTTTGTCTCTGTGTGTGTGGGTGCAGGCCTGGTAGCCAATGAGGCCCGTCTGTGCGATTACTCTGGACGCTACTACTGCCCCAACTGCCACTGGAACGACGCGATGGTCATCCCAGCACGGGCCCTGCATAACTGGGACTTTGAATCTCAGAAGGTGAGGACAGCCAGAGGTGAAGGAGGGGGGGGTGCAGGCCAGGTGTGGTGGCCAGGGGAGGGAGTCCCCCCCCTTCACTGGGTGGATGAAGCCCAAGAAAGCGCTGAGTGACAAATGTAAGTTATATGAATGTTCTAGAAGGGCTCGAGCGCTGAGCAAATGACAAATGTAAGTTATATGAATGTTCTAGAAGGGCTAGAGCGCAGAGCGAGTGGTGTGTGTGTGTGTGCATGCGTTTGCGTGACGCCGCTGTGGCCCAGGTTTGCCGGTCGAGTCTGCGCTTCCTGACGCTCATGCAGGGCCGCCCGGTGCTCAACGTGAGACACATCAACCCGTTGCTCTTCAAGCACGTAGAGGAACTGGCGCAGATCAAGGTGAGCCGTCGGTGAGGCGTGGGGATAGTTGGGGACGGGATATGCAAATTTGGCTCGGGGGGGGGGGGGGGGGGGTCAAGCAGGGCCAGGAGTGGGGCTAACGATGCGGTTACTTCGAGCGATCGATGCCAGGGCTGGCTCGGCACGGCTCTGTTCTGCAGTGGAAAATACATTTAACCACCACCACTTCTATAAATCTTCTCTAAACCCACCTCCTCCTGTGTGCGGACAACAGAAGCTGCGATCGGACATCCTGAAAATGAAGCCGTACCTCGTCACCTGCACAGACGCGCTGGAGTCCCGAATTCTCCTCGAGGTCGGCGCCAGCGGTTGCCCAAGTTTTTTTGTTTCGGGGTCCCCCCCCCCCAAATTCAGTTTCAAGGCACTGCCGCCACAGTGGTGCAACGGCCGGTAGCATCTGGCCTGCGACCCAGAGGTGGCCGGTTCGATTCCATCTCCTGACGCGGCAGTTGAAGGAACGGTGCAAGTTGGTTATTATTTGCTCTTTTTCAGAAGCGACCTGGCCACAAATGATGGCTCAACGAGGTGGCTTGTGTGGAAATTTCTCGCAGCCGAATACTCAAAATGCATGATGTTGATTCTAAATATGGAGGGAAAAAACAGAGAACCCGGAGAAAAATCTGCGTGACCACTGGGAGAGAGACACGCAAACTCCAAATATATAGCAGGCGACAGGGTCAGGATCAAACCCACGACCTCCTGTATACCAGGCGGGGGAGTTAATCCCCTACCTCCACCCCTGCCACCTCTTTCCACCCAACAGTAGCAATGGGATGCATCGCAGATAATTGATCGGCAGGTCGTGTGTGGTGGAGTAAAGCATGAGTACTTCCATCGTGTACTCCCGTAACACACCAGACGCTCGTTCATTGGACTAGCTTGCTCTGCCATTGGCTCGTGCCACTGCTGGGGGAACGGCCTCCACCATGAACCATCATCACATGAACTCCGGTCATCCTCGCAGCAGCAGCGGCTTTTGACTAAGCCATCGAACAAAAGGCGGCCACCGTGTCGCGCGCTTTTAAATGCACTTCTGCGGCCGTCTGGAACGCTCTTCTGATATTAGGAAGCCACTGGAGCTGTGCACTTTTGAATGATCTGGATTGAAAACTCATTTCTTTAGAACTGCTTTTTGTGTTTAGTTCGTTGTCCTTCCCCCCCACGCCTCCGAATTGGCTATGTATGGTGCAAAAGAAGTTCAACATGTATATGTTGCTTCAACTGCCGCACCGGGAAATCAAATGGAAATGCGGACCCGCTGGAGTGCGCTTCCGGTGTGCTCACCATGACATCACCGTCGCGTCTGCAAGCTTGCAATTAATCTACTTTGTAAATGTTGTTCTTCTGGAGGCTCACTCATTGGATTTAATTGGTAGCTTGTAACGTATCTATTGTATGTACACTACAGTATGTAGGGTTTTTTTTTTCTGGAGGCACTGTCACTGAATCGCCTTGGCAGCTTGTAATTAGTTTTCCCTGCTCACTGGAGGCTCTCTCATTGGACCTGACTTAGCAGCTTGCAATGATTTGTCATTGTGTGTTGCTATTCTGGAGGCTCTCTCATTGGACCAAACTTAGCAGCTTGTAATGATTTTTCATTGTGTGTTGCTATTCTGGAGGCTCTCTCATTGGACCAAACTTAGCAGCTTGTAATGATTTGTCATTGTTTGTAGTTATTCTGGAGGCACGCTCTCTTTGGACCAAACTTAGCAGCTTGCAATGATTTGTAGGCCCTCTTGTTGGACCGGTTTGGCGGCTTGTAATGACTATTCTTGTTATTGCTGCTGCTGCTTGTCCCCAGCTGCAGGAGAGGCAGCACTTTGTGGAGAATGTGGACATGTACTCCATGCAGGACCTCATCGACGTGGTCGTGGGGCGGCTGAGCTCCACCCTCACAGACGTCCACACGACCTTCGCCAAGCACATCAAACTCGACTGCCAGGTGCACACACGCACACTTGGGTGTATGCGGCCGTCCATAAATTATGTCACACACCTGGGGGGGGGCGGGGCGTCAGACATTTGTGACGATGTGTGACGAGGTGGGGGGGGGGTTTGAGAAATGTGACGTCACATCAAAATACTTTATTAAATAGACTTTTTAATGTTTTCTCCTACAAGATCAGAGTGCAGCGCCACATTAAATACGCACTACAATGACAATAGTTTAAAGCAATATGAAGCATTTTTTTTTGCTTTGTGACGTCATATTTGAGGGGAGGGCGGCTGACTTTTTGTGACTCCGTGTGACTAGGCGGGGAGAGGGTGAAAAATCGTCCAAAATCGCGTGACGTCATTTATGGACGGCCCCTTAATACACACACACGTTCATGTACGGGAAAACACAACGGCCGCTGTTCAGCACTCAGTGGAGGTGACGTCACCCTGGCGCTCGTGCCAGGTTAGGGGCACGTTGAGGCCGTCACGTGAGGTGTGAAAGGCTCGCTTGCCAGTAGGAGGAGGTCACGTGAGAGATCCAGGTGCGGGTGCGATGGGTTGACTGACTCAAATGACGGGCAGATGCGCCACCCGTGCTCCCCACTGTTCCAACTGTGCTGCGCTCCGTTGTGAGCGTTGCTCCTCTGCCCCCCCCCAATTTATGTTGGAGGGTGACTGCCTCCAACTGCCCAGGAGCCATCCTTCACACTATCTCACACACACCCGCACTTTCTCGCTCTCTCTCACACTCTGTCTTTCTCAGCGATGCCAGGCCAAAGGCTTCATCTGTGAGCTCTGCCGCCAGGGGGAGGCGCTCTTTGCATTCGACAACCACACGGCCGTGTGTCCCAACTGCTCGGCTGTTTTCCACAGGTCAGCAGCATCACCATCATCAAGCACCATCATTAGCACCAGCATCATCGTAATCCGCAGCACCATGATCATCATTGTTGTCATTATCAGCAGTATTGTAATCATCGGGGAGGCTTTCATCCAGCAGTGGATAGATCACAACAATGATGGTGGATAATTGTGACGATGGTGAAGACGGCGAAGACGATGATGAGTGTGACCATGTTGCTCTGTTGCTGCAGGGACTGTTACTATGACAACGCCACTGTGTGCTCCAAGTGCCGGCGCTTAGAGGCGCGGAAGAAATCCCTGCAGCATGCCCCACGTGGTGGGGGGGAGGGAACCCCAGGGGAGGGGGCCCCTCGAGGTGGTGGGGGGGAGGGGGCCCTAAGCGGTGACAAGGAGGAGGGCCCGCGTGGCGCAGAGGTTGGTGACGAGGATGGCGATGGCGATGACGATGACCTTGACAACGAAGTTGACGACACACGATGACAGCCAATCGCATGCAAGCGGTCTTATATGTAAGCCAATTACAGGGGAGCAGTCTAGAACAATTGACCAATCTTGAGCGGGAATCAAAAGGTTTGAACAATCACGTTTGAGCCGAGTGTAAATTACTGAACAATCACAGATGGAGTGAAATTTCCCAATCGCGAGCGAGTGGTCTGTACATTTTGATGAATCGCAAGCTCGGCAGTCGTGGACTATTCACTCTTCCTTCACCTCGTTGACATTTCCCCACTCAAGAAGTTTTAAACTCGCCGTCGGACAACGCCGGGAGATGCAGCAGCCCTGCTGCGTAGTCTCTACAAGATGCGAGTTCCCGAATTGAAGACGACCGTCATCAGCACGCGGCACTTCTCGTCGTATGAATTCACAGCACTCTATTTAACAACACAATCCATTCTCTTGCACCCCAGTGGTACGTGTCCAACGTTATCCCAACGTTGGCTTGTGGTCAGAACCGTTGGCCCCAACGTCCCATGTTTTACTGGGATGTCGTCTCCCTAGCGGGACGACATTTGATTGTCCTGATTGAGGATCGCGATCCAAATCAATAATCGGTTCCTTGTCTCATTTTTGATCGTATCATTTGTATTGTTTCTCGAAGGTTTTTTCTTTTTTGACGTTTGCACAGTTTTTTGTTAAGTCCGCTAGCCCGAATTGAATCGTTACGGGTTGTAGAGCTGCAGTGATGAGAAGGCCTGTGCGACAGTCTTACGTTGAGTGAACTGCACTTTAAACGTTTTAAAATGAATCTTTGTTCGTACCTGGAAGTTAAGCAAAGCACAAAATAAATACAATCAAAATGTGAAAAGCAATTACGAATATACAGTAGACTCTCGAATATCTGCACTAATGATGGGGAGGATGGCCGCGGATAATTAAAAAATATCAATTTTCCGCGGATCTCTGCGAATAACCACTAATATAGGTATAAATTATGTTTTAAGTCTTATAATTTCGTAAATTAAATCTCGCAATAAATGATGGGATAAATCCCTCAATGAAGCACACAACTAACGATTTCGATTCTTATTATTTTGTTTTAGAACGAATACGAACGATTGACCGATCAGTGGCATGATGAGTGATAACTTTCTTGCTTCCGTGCAGAAGGCTACCCACTATGTGGATAGCAGAGCCACACCAATCAAAATCAAACCCCACTGTTGTAAAGATATGCAACTATTGTACTGTGGAGGCAATCACGTGGATTTCGGATTAACCGGCACGCACATTTGTTCGTTTTAAGAACGTGACCTGTAATAACCATTTTCAAGAAGAACAATGTATAACTGTTTTTAGATTAATACTCTTTGGTTCTTTCGGTAAAGTCACGTAGGTAGGAAAAAATAATAGATCACGACGTTTCGATCGCAACACAAGCAACAGTCATCAGGTGCGAAACAAACACAGCAGGGAGGAATGCTGACGAAGGAGAAAGAGCTGCTGCAACAAGAATTCATATAGGATTTTTGGTGGGCCCAACCCAAGGGTAAGTGGGCGGAGCTAGAGAAGGAATTTGTGCGTAAATCTTGATTCGAAGCTGTGAATGTGAGAGATTATAGCATGTCGATGTGAGACTGCCCAGCCACCGGAGGTGTGCCAATGAGAAGATTAGCGTGCCAATGTCGGAGAGCCGGGCGCTAATCTTTTCATTGGCACACCTCCGGTGGATGGGCCGTCTCACATCGACATGCTATAATCTCTCACATTTACAGCTTCGAATCAAGATTTACGTACAAATTCCTTCTCTAGCTCCGCCAACTTACCCTTGGGTTGGGCCCGATCAAAAATCCGAGAAAACTCTTGTTGCAGCAGCTCTTTATCTATCCTACGTCAGCAGTCCTCCCTGCTGTGTTTGTTTCGCACCTGATGACGGTTGCTTGTGTGTTGCGATCGAAACGTCGTGATCTATTATTATTTTGTCTACCTACGTGACTTTACCGAAAGAACCAAAGAGTATGGATTCCTGCAGTCACGAAAGCTTCAAATCAAGATTGTATTTAGATTATTTGGGCTTAATCGAAATTCTATGAGTTATTAATGTATGTCAATCTCAGGTGCTCGGTAATCCACACATCGGTTAAACTGCACGCGGATAATCAAAGGTGTCTACTGTATATGGAAAACTGATTCCGCAGTGATCGCCAAGAAAATTAATATCATATCTTGAAAACCTGGTGATAAGTGATGTTAAGCGGGGTCACCAATAACGGTACAAACCCACATCACATGATATCTGGTGCTGAACTGAATTTGGCCAAAGTCCAGCTCTTGAGAATGAAAATATCGGTTTGACATGCATGCGAAGAACCTCCCTCTCGTACGTACAGCAAGTGAGATAGTGCTCCCCTCTACTGTGTAGACCAGAGGTCGCCTTTAAGAAGGGCTGTCCGAGGTGGCTCTGTGATATACACTTCCATGAGCTGTTCTCTAGGAGGGGGGTCGCGTGTTGCTCTCTGCAGGAGAGTTTCTGAACGGATCCTTCGTGTCGTGACGAGGCGACGCCGAAATTAGAAAATAAAACTAAATTAAACATCACTCGGTAAAACTCGTGGGCTTTCGCGACCAATATCCATAAGATATTTTATTTTGGTTCGATCGCGTAAAATATAAATGTGTCGTTAACCTCGCCACCACCCCAACACAGGCAGTTAACAAGGTTTGTCAGATATCCAAAATATGTCAACCCTGGTGGTAATAAGTGGTGTTCAGGCGGGTCACTAATGACTGTACAAACCCACATCCCATTATATTTGGTGCCGCAATTAAATCTTGCTAAAGTCCAGCTCTTGAGAATGATAATATATAAAACCAACAAAAAAAATATCACTCGCTAAAACGATAAATAAATCGAGATTATTCGCTCCAAGTGTCTTGAGAGCCGACGAGCAACTTGGATACCTGGGAAATAGTGTCTGTGCTTTCGTCTTGACTGATGTTTTCTTACAAAGCCACAAAACCAGTGGTTCCCAACATCCCCGTGTCGCGTAGCCCCTAATACACCGTCAACCGTTCACCTACCAGCACCCACACAGCACTAACGATAATTAAATTATGCACATTTCAATCATTTGACAAACGCAACTAAATACGTACACTTTAATGTGTTTTATTTTTAAATGCTACCGTTCACTTTAATTATAAGACTGATGATGAAGATTGATTTCAACTTGTAATCGCGCCGTGCAGTATTTCTCCTGCGAAGAGAGAGTGAGGGAGGAATTGCACACGAGGACTGTAACGTGGAGTGGGATGTTATCCGGGGGTTTCTGCGTTCCACATGGAAGGCAAAACCCCTCGTTGACGATGGAATTGTCCAAACATTCCCGTGTGGCAGGGGACCCCTCCGAACACAAGAGTCTCGTCACTCACCGAAGCCCTTTTGAGTGATATCGTAGCACTGTTATTTGTATTATTATTTGAATTAAGTTAACTTGCATTCGTACAACTTGAGCTTAAGGCATGTACGAAATTCTTATGGTTCGATGGCCGATGCAGCCTTTGTCTTTGTCCGAATAAAGAAGTCATGTCACTGAGCTGGAGTCGGAGCGATTGTTTGTTTGGTTGTTATTGTTTGACTTGCATCACACTGGGATTTGAGCACACAGCGTTGTAATACGTTTTTTTTGTAAGATTTGCTGGTTTATCCAGGATGTTTCTGTTGTGCGTCGTCGCTTCAAGACGATTCTAAAGAAATCTACAACCTTCGATTCCTTGGCGCGATTTAAAGTAGCGAAGAAATTAATTCATCGATGCCGATTGTGATACGGGCATGCATTGTCACCGGATCTGAGTACGTGTGCAAAATGTGGAATTGATTGGACAACGGGAAGTGGACGAAATTTTTATTGCAAGATTTGACCACGACAAACTGAGGAATCTAAGTAAAGCCGTTGAAAAAAGCAGAGTTAATGAACGCAAATGTATTGTAAGTGAAAGACCTCGGTGGGCCCTTGGTAGGATGGGGATGGTTTGGTTGTATTTGTATGCGTATCAGTGATTTGCTTACATTTCTTGTTACTATGCACTCCTGTACTGTTGTAACGTTCTTACCCCGTGCCCCGACTGGCCATCTGTGGAAAAAAAATCCTCCAGTAGAAATAAATATTCTGATTCTGAATTAAACAGCTCCTCCGATGCGTTGTGCGAGAGCCTCCCCTGAACTGATGGCACACCGGTTACGTGACCTCATCGTTTCCTATTTTAGATTAAAGGTAGCCTGCAACTGCGTCGTGATCGCTGCAGATTCTTCACATTTCGTATGGCTGATGTAGATCATACCGGTCAACCCGTACGGTTTAGCCCGTATTCTTGTACGGGTAAATTGACTTGTCAAGTCCACACGGCGTAAAGCCCTTTGAATACGGGCAAAAATTATAAAACATGTTTTGTCTATAATCTTAGCTCTTTCGGTAAAGTCACGTTGAAGGGAAAAATAATAGTATATAAAACAATAAAAATTCTCACGACGTTTCGACCATAACACAAACGGTCGTCATCAGGTGTGTCGGTTTGCATTTATTTATTTTTAAACGGTGCATTTATTTATTTATAAAAAAACGTCTGCGCCACGCGCAGCGATTTGGCAGTTTAATTAGAAGGACTAGTCCATCTATGTTCTGAAAAGAGGAGGGAGACGAAAAATTAATGTATGCTGTCTGAAAGCCACCGTAAGAGTGAACAATCAATTAAGACCTGAAATGGTTTATGAAATCCTTCCAATGATTGCTAAGCCAGAATCCATCTTCTCGGTTGAAATTGTCTCTGTGCTTGTATATGTGGATATGTGGATGAACGTTGTGATGTATAAGGGGGCACGGGGCGACCAATAAGGTCTGAATTGGTCTGCAATAAGGTAGGGGGGGAGAGGGCGGGGCGGGGCGGGTGAGGGCGGTGCGGGGCGGGTGAGGGCGGTGCGGGGCGGGTGAGGGCGGTGCGGGGCGGGTGAGGGCGGTGCGGGGCGGGTGAGGGCGGTGCGGGGCGGGTGAGGGCGGTGCGGGGCGGGTGAGGGCGGTGCGGGGCGGGTGAGGGCGGTGCGGGGCGGGTGAGGGCGGTGCGGGGCGGGTGAGGGCGGTGCGGGGCGGGTGAGGGCGGTGCGGGGCGGGTGAGGGCGGTGCGGGGCGGGTGAGGGCGGTGCGGGGCGGGTGAGGGCGGTGCGGGGCGGGTGAGGGCGGTGCGGGGCGGGTGAGGGCGGTGCGGGGCGGGTGAGGGCGGTGCGGGGCGGGTGAGGGCGGTGCGGGGCGGGTGAGGGCGGTGCGGGGCGGGTGAGGGCGGTGCGGGGCGGGTGAGGGCGGTGCGGGGCGGGTGAGGGCGGTGCGGGGCGGGTGAGGGCGGTGCGGGGCGGGTGAGGGCGGTGCGGGGCGGGTGAGGGCGGTGCGGGGCGGGTGAGGGCGGTGCGGGGCGGGTGAGGGCGGTGCGGGGGGGAGAGACGTCACCGCGCACTGTACCGGCAGGAGGCGGAAGCGGAGTTGACCCCGCACTGTGCGAGGCGAGGAGCGCCGTCTCCGCCTTCCCCATGGCGCGCCCGGCGGGTACGGTGGTGGTGGCGGCGGCGGCGGCCTCTCTCCTTCTCTCTCACGCATTCACTCAACATGAGAGTCGCACTCTCACGAGTTTCACTCAACATGAGAGTCTCACTCTCACGGTAATAACTGGCTAGTCTCACCCTGACGGGAGAGTCTCACTAGATTCTAGATTTGAAGCTTTCGTGACTGCAAGGATCCATACTCTTTGGTTCTATTCGGTAAAGTCACGTAGGTTAAAAAAAGAGTCGCACTCTCACTGGCTTAAGTCTCTCGCTAAAGTCTCACTCACTCGTCTCGCTAGACCCGCTAGAGTCTTATAACTCTCATGGCCACAAATGACGGCTCAAGGAAGTGGCTTAACCACGTGGATATTTACAGCCGCAGCAATATTCCAAACGCGCGATGTTGAGTCTAAACGTGAGACGCAAAACAACCGGAGGACCCGGAGAAAAATTACACGCGACCACGGGGAGAGAGACACGGAACTACAAATATACAGCAGCAGCAAGCGACAGGGTCGAGATCGAGCCCACGATCTCCTGTACACCAGGCGAGGGAGTTAACATCTCATAGCCACCGTGATGATGATAGAGAGAGAGACACGCCAACTCCAAATATACAGCAGCAGCAGGCGACAGGGTCGAGATCGAACCCAAGACCTCCTGTATACCAGGCGAGGTAGTTAACATCTCATAGCCACCGTGATGATAGAGAGACACGCAAACTACAAATATACAGCAGCAGGCGTCAGGGTCGAGATCGAACCCACGACCTCCTGTACACCAGACGAGGTAGTTAACATCTCATAGCCACCGTGATGATGATAGAGAGAGAGAGACGCGAACTACAAATACACAGCAGCAGCAGGCGTCAGGGTCGAGATTGAACCCACGACCTCCTGTACACCAGGCGAGGTAGTTAACATATAGCCACCGTGGTGCCCCAAAGAGACTGGAGATGGGGGCGCATATAGAAACTCGTTGAAAGACAAAACACGGAGTTTTTTTTTATACGACTGCTGGTTACAAGATCAGCGCACATACCAGATGATAATGCTCACGTGATAATTTCCAATTAGACCAGCTTCCAAAGTGATACAGCCGAGATTCGATCAGCTTACCTTATTAGCCAGTTTAGACCAGCTATAATATACCAGATGGAGCAGCTCAGATTTAGAGTATACAGTATATCAGATTAAACAGATCAAATCAGACCATATTAGATTAAACCAGACGCCAGTCGGATGCAAGAAGACCAAATTAATAAGCCACTTGTCCTGCAAGTCGTCAACTTCACTCACCCGCACCCGTCTTTCCCCGACCTACCAAATACCCCGTTAACCCTTGAAACCACGCACCCTCGGTCCCGACCCATGACCTGCCCCCCCCCTCCCTCCCCTCCCCCAGCGTCTGGAGACCTGCTGCGCTCGCACTCGTACACCCTGGCCATGAGCCTGTCGGACACGTCGGTGTTGAGCATCACACAGAGCCTGCTGAGCGCCGGCGTACTGAACCGCCACGAGTGCGACGCCGTGCACGCCAAGGCCACGCCGCTGGAGAAGGTGTCGGCCCTCACGGCGACCATGATGCGGAAGGGGCCCTCCGCCTACCCGAACTTCTACGGCGCGCTGGAGGAGTGCGACCCGGCACTCTACGAGCAGCTCACGGGAATCAAGGGTGCTTGGATCGCTCGCTCGCTCGCTCCCTCGCTCGCTCGCTCGCTCCCTCGGTCGCTCGATCTCGGGGGCCCTGTCAGTCTGCCGATCGGTTGGTCGGTCATTGGGTCGATGGGTCGCTAAAGAGGGTATCGTTCCCTACACTGGTCACCCACCCACGGTGGCGAGATGTTAACTTCCTCGCCTGGTATGCAGGAGGTCGTGGGTTACTTCCTGACCCTGACGCCGTTATATTTGCGAGTTTGCATGTTCTTTCTCCCCCGTGGTCGCGTGGATTTTTCTCCGGGTCCTCCGGTTTTTCCCCCAACATTTAGAAACGTGGTGTTTAGAGTATTTGGCTGCTATAAAATTCCACGTGATAAGCCACTTCGTTGAGATATTATTTATGGCCAGGTCGCTTCTGAAAAAGAGCTATATAGCTCATTGGGCCTTATCTTGTAAAATAAATTGTTTTAGTTTTGTTTTCTCCCACTGTCTGCATAAATATTAAGATTGCCAATAGTTGTCGCGCCCTGGCCGATGTATCCTCCCTCATCTCTTGTCTATCCCGCATTGTGCAACCCTTCGCTCCAGCACGCGATAGCTCATTGCGGATGGGTAAGTGTAAAGCGAGTTGGCATTCCCGAGTTGAGGCTAACCATGCTTGGTATTCGTCTCTGTCTCAACAGCCAGAAGACCGCAGATACATCCACAAACGCCGGCCACCACTGCTCCTTCGGGTGAGCGCCTTCACACGGATGTGGTACCCTCACGGAGATCTGTCACACGGCTGTGGTGCCCTCGTGGAGCTCCTTCATACGGCTGTGGTGCCCTCACAGAGCTCTGGCCAATCCCATTCTGAATGCCTCCCCTCTCCCTGCCGCCCCCTTTCCATAACCGTTGCTACCATTTGTCTTTTTTTTCCATCCTTTTCCTATAATTTCCCATTAATTTGCGTCTCCGTTTTCCCCAATTGTCTTTTTCCATACATTACGTCCTTGACACAATTCTCCTTCCCGTGTCGCGCCACAGGCAAACAGTTGCCATCGTATGACGTATCTTCGCATCCACCACATCACGGCAACTGTACCGAACTGTTTTACACCTCGCCAGGAGAGGAGTTGTCACCGCTCGGTAGAGGAGACCTATAAAACTGGACAAATTATATTTGGTGTTCGCGCCATTCTCAGAGCGCAAGCCTATCACAACGGCTCCTATATTTTGCAGACGACTAAAGTCTGCAGTAGTTTCACAGAAGGGGGTGAAGATGGAGTAATTTTCTTTTATTTATTTTTTCAAGAAAGGCCAATTTGGACCGTGATGCTGGCACAGATGGCTTACTCATTTTTGAATGAAG